AAATTATTTTTATTTTAATAAGATTTTTTTGGTAATCTTTTGTTATTGATGAATGGATAAACTGAGCTCGTTGAAAGGGGTGGCTGCTAGGTAGCCCAGGACCAGCAGAACAAACTCTCCCCAATTTTATATTTAAAAATTCTTTTTACGTCTGGGGCCAGTTGTATAAAAGACTAGCTAGCTTTTAACTGTAGTTAAGGCTAAAATTGGCCAATCAGAGTTGTGTATTTCTGAGTTAACTAGGATTTAACTATGCAAAGTGTAGTTAGGGAGTTTTATACAACCGGCCCCTGGTATGATAAAACTGTGGTTTTAAGCGGGAGACAAATGTAATCTGGAATGACCATCGATGTTTCTTAAATCTGAAAGCATTCATCTTATTTCCCGCCCTAAGGTTTAGGCAATAAAATACCCCCTGAGTAGCAAAAGCCATCCTTCAAAAAGGCCGAGGTGTGTTCTAATCAGATAGTTCACCAACTATCATTCGTGACAGAATTGGCCAATTAGAGTCGTGTGTTTTACAGTCGTTTATTCTTAACTACGATTTTACTACTCAAAATATAGTTTAGGAGTTGTAGACAACCTGCCCCAGACAGCAACTAGTAAAAAATCCAGGTAAAATGTGGAGAAATCACTCCTTCGGCTGACATTTTGCAGACAATCGCCACAAATGAAGTCGCCGGGAAAAAACATCATCTGACATTGTATTTGAGTGCTCTAGTGTAATTCAAACTATTATAACTTGTCCAATAATGTCGCAAAATTCCTAAATAATGTCGCAAATGCTACGCCAAAGCTGGCGAAATTCACTATAAAAATGCTCTTGTTTTAAATTAAACTTTTTAAAATGTATAATCGTATATGATGATGGCTTTTGCCGACAGATGCTCATCCCTCCCCCTGCCCCCCTTAGAGAAAATCTGTGGATAACAGCAGCACTATACAAAGCCTTATTAATTATGTTTCTATATCTTCAGGTGCTACAAGTCCTGGAATTACGACCTCAATGAATTCTTCGCTTAATAATTCAAGCAATTCCGGGGGATCATCGGTCTCGAAGAGACCCGACCTAAAAGTGGTCATTCCGAATGCAAGAAATCCTTTGGTATGAATTTTTTTACTTTTATTCATCTAAAGAGCTTTTCGTTAATTGAGAAGAGCAATCTGACCAGGATTTCTGTCTGCGCATTGAGGAATATCTGGTCAAGAATTTGGGGAATTTGGCACATTTCACACCTACTTCATTTAATTTGATCCAAATTCTCATTCAGATCCAAAATCTCATTGTAATGTTATAATTTGGATTTTAGAGTCAAAACACGAGAACAGGGGGAGTTCACGGTTCAAACAGTGACACGATCATAACACCCGTTATATCCCTGAGTACTCCTTCGTATTCTAGTTCCAATCCATTGAGTACCCCTGTAATGCCTATCAATACACCAATGTCCCACTCCGGGCCCTCGTTTCACACTTCATCCTATGACCAGTTTTCCATGGAGTCGGGAGAAAGCAATTCTCGTGTCGTATCGACACCTTATTTGACACTGCAGCACAATCAACACCTCTTTGCCCAGCAGATGGCCATGCAACATGGCATGCTTCAAGGGTAAGAGTAAATTTTATTGTTTTGTGGCGTGGAGGGTGTGGGTGGGGAGTGAGGGGTATGGGTGGGGAGTGGAGGGTATGGGTCGGGAGTGGAGGGTATGGGTGGGGAGTGAGGGGTATGGGTGGGGAGTGGAGGGTATGGGTGGAGAGATTGGGAAGTGTGTTGATATAGTAGTTATGCCAGTAAACTAATTATATTCTGTGACCTTTATTATATTATAATAGACTAAAGTGTAGTGGGTAATTAGTAGTCAGTTCTCGCTTGGAAAATTACAAGTAAAATCTTGAACAATGTTTTCAAACAAAGTCTGAAGTAAATCTGCAAATTTTCCAGGGGGAATTCATTAGGTGGGGGTGGAATGACAAACCGTCGCATCCCGGTATCAAATATGCAGGTTGTGGTGAAGTCTGAACCCCCCTCGGACAATGATCCCGTGTCACCGGGGTCCCGGTCCTCGCTATCGCCTACCTCGTTCAACAATCGCAGACCGCGCGAGAAAGATGGTCTGGACGGAGGCGATCCGAAACGCGTAAGACTGGACGCGAATCATAATGACAGATGGCGTTAGCAGTAGTCATGGTAACATAAACAATGTTTTATACAGCTTTTATCTCTGACCTTAAAATATAACTGGATTACTTCTGTTCAATAGGAAAAATATTGCAAAAAAATCTCACTAAACCTCCCGTAAACTTCCCGTTGTCGTTTTATATTGTATAAGAAATCTCACTGCTTTTGGCGTATTTTTTAAAAACGGTTATTATTTTGGTCCTAAATTTCTGGCTTATTTGTACGTCCTAGTTAGTCCAGTTCATTTTCAAGGTCAGAGAGTTTGTATATATTTAGCTCTTCATAAAATGTTTATTATAAACGTATCATATAGACATAGTATTATCCGGCTCTTTTTAAAAGAGCAATTTCATCGCATGTTTTCATAACTTGCTACCAAGATGGCTTAATTTAGGACTATATTTGGTATTTTTACGCTTATTCCTACAAGTGTGTGAATATTAGTGTAAATATGAAATGTGTAATTACTAAGGCAAAGTTACATCACCACAGTTGTTAAGAATACATAGTTAGAGGACTTTGTGAAAGTGTAACAAAACATTACCAATGTAGGTGGAATAGAAATTCATGAACACTAACATTAATAATGATATTTTTACCCATGGACTAAAACAAATGGAAGGTACCTAAGGTGGACACTTCTGTGCCAATTTAAAGCTAGTCTAAGTCACATACAACCGTATTTTGTAATTGGCCGTGTGTTTACATCACGTTAAACGAGGACTTGGTTGTAACCGAAAAGCTTTGCCGCAAATTTCTGGGTCATTTATTTTAGTTCCAATTTTTTGTAATTTCAGCCTTAATTTTTAACTTTGTATTCAAATGACTGTGGTTACAATTTGCTTTCCTGCAAATTTCAATGCATTTTGTCCCCGAAATGAAATCCTTTCCCTCCCCGAGAAAAAAAGAAAACATGGTTCGATTTTACAGCAATCATCGTTTCCAGATCCCAGATGTGGGATCAGGCGGAAGTACTTCTTGTTACTTTCCCTATAGTGTATCCAAGACAAAAAACAACAGGAACTTAAGTGAGTTTCGGAATGCAGCGGTAACTTGCAGGAACAAATGTAACCAAACCTTAAAATGTAAATGTTATTTCGTATTGCTTTTCAAAAGCATATACCACGGTAAGCATTACGCTCCGAGAAACTAAACATTAAAGTGATATTCATTTTGACTGCAAGAAGTCTGAAGGGCAGTTCACACGGGCGATTCTTGCTGCGATTTTAAATGCATTTTTTTCCTTTTGACAGATGCGGACGAGTGAATAGTTATGAATGCTCTGTGTGTGGGTTTTTTGAAGTGCCGTTATTTGAACATCCGTAACTAATCCACTCGATCACATCTGTCAAAAGAAGAGAACCGGAACTAAAATTGCCCATGTGAACCTGCGTTTAGCCAACTACGTCGAATTCTTGCAGTTTCAACTCTCGTGAGTGGCATTCGGCTCGTGCAAATGACGACATCTTGATTCCGCGAATTAGATAAATTTTGAATTCACCAATTTTGACCAGAAAACCTTTACAAGTTGTGATGAAATGGTCACAATGTTGTGACAAATTTCTTGTTTTAACAACTGAAGTTAAATTTATGCTGCTGAACAGAAAATTACACAAAAATCATTCTTTTCATCAAAGGATTCTTTTAGGATATAACTTCCATGGCCTTATTCAACCTCAGTTATTTCAAAGGAAAAAAGGAAAAAAAACTTGAGATTTTAAATGTACCTGAACTTGTGTGACAGCACGAACCGAATGTAGCTCAGTGACTAGGCAAAAAACTGTTCTGAAAAAGTAATGAATTTCACTCAATACTTGCAGTTGAAGTACATTTAGGCGATATAACGCGGTGAGAATTTTGCTGTACGTTTTGCCGAGTTGTTGAATCCTAGAGTGTTGCTTCATGACTGTTTCTTCTCAAACCGTTCAACATGAGACGCCAGTCTGGTCAGCTTTGAAAGAAAAACGTGTTTATTTTCTTATCAACTTCGAAAAACACTCACGGCGCCTACATTTTTTCTAACCACCATTCACTAATATAAGGTCGTATTGTAGAAAGTGTAGCTAGTGCTTATACTATAGTGACAAAGAGCTGGTATTTTTGTCGGGTAGCAGTTGCCAATCGTGTGTCTTGGCAAATTTGTTTGTATATTATATTACATTATATTAATATTGTACTGCGCCGTATTGCTGTTCAGAAATTATTATATCTTTATAATAAAAAACAGCAGTCAAAACGAAGTAGTTTTAATTTGAAATTGTTTCAGAGAATATTATCTTGTAGTGATAAAATTACACTGTAAAAACTGATAGGTTAAATAACAAAAGAAATAGGTGTTTGGATGAATCTGAGAGAACCGGTTTAAAATAGGTCGTTATTCTTACGTATACCAAATAGGTTGAAATAACCTGTAGTTAACTAGTAATTTTAACCTATTAACAACTCGTTTTAACCGAGTAATAGGTAATAGCAACCTATAGAACTGTGTTGTACTTTTTGAGATGAACCTTCTGTTCATTAGGACATAGTTGCAATGAAAATTCGGTCAAATATACACTTTAGTCTTTAGTAGTCAAATGTACTTTTGTTGGAGGTACTTGGTTTCTGTCTTGTTGTAGCAAGCACCTGCATGAATAACCTTTATTTCATAAAAAATTCATGACTGGAGCCGTTTTATTTGAGAACGATTTCAATTCATTTTTCAGTTACTAACTCCTTATCATAAGAATGAAAACAAAAACAACGTTGAACCGCGTGAAAACAATTGCGTATAATATAATGTTATATTCATGATGACAAAACGAAACTGAATTCGATGACGATGGTGCTTACGTTGCATTTCAAGGCTGTTGTCTGTATCAGATCTCTTTGAAGACTGTTAAGGCGTAAGATCGACAGTTTTGATTTGTAGACTCAAGTTAAATTGTTAGCAAACGAGGATAAAGGAAAAGTTAAGTCACATTACGCGAAACGGGTAAGATGTGTCGTATTTTTCTCATTATTAAAATTCCTATATATATCAGCAAATTAATAAAAGTCAAAACCTTCGCTGATTTATTGAAGAAAGATTCAGTAACATATGGCGAAGTAAAGGTTTTCGTTGCATGGCTATTTTAGTTATTATATAAAATATTTTGTTATTACACAAAATCAACTAGAACCCGAAGCCTATTTTATAAGATATTTCATGAATTTTCTTATCGAAATGTTACACTTCGAAGAGTTCACGGAATGAGCGTTCAACGCACTTTTCAGGCTTTAACGTTTGACTTTGAGTTTCAGCAAATGTCAAAGCCTGTGAAGCACGACTTTATAGTCAAACTTTGGTGCATGTTTTCTTACTATATCTGTATATGACATTGGGCAAAATGTTATGCAACCGAAAATTTTCAACACACGATAATTAAAATAATGACATTAAAAACATCATTTCCATATCACTATATAACATGAAAAATATATTGATAAAAAGGTGGATAAGCACTTGAATGAGCGCTCAGTAAAGTTGAATTTCGTGTATTGCATGTGAGGCGTACTTTATATACGTTTTCTTTTTTTCTTTGAGGGTATTTAATATAAAAAAGTAAGTATTATTGTATTCGACGCACTTCAGGGGGTGCAATCGCGATTTTTTTTCTGAAATGTGGGTGTATTATTATTCCAGCGATCATTCTAGATTAATAACGAAGCACACTTCACGGTGAGAAGTTAAACAAATTGCGATTGTTTTTCTTCTGACTTCGCTACGAAATCTGACCGTCGATAATATGAAAATATCAATGTGGCCACTTAAAATGAAGTGCTTAATAGTTAAGGATGCTATTTAACCCACCAATTATGTTAAAATATTGCATTATACAAAAAACCAACGCTTGTATCGCAGTTCAATCGCGCAATGTCGCCAATTATTTTGTTAAGCGCAACACTATACTAGTCATAAGATATTATTTTAATTCACTGCATATGTTCTTTTGGTCTTGCCAATAGATACTTTATATAGATAATTGTTTTGCCTATATATATGTAGATACTTGCCTGGACTGGTATAGCTCCGTCTGCATCTAGTTGAGTAAGAAAATGTCAAAAATTTCAGAATTTGCAATGTAGAAAGAATTTGGAAGCGATGGCACACGGTTCCGATCAAATGGCAGCGTGGACGAAAAATGAATATTTGAAACTATTCTGCCGCGAAGTTGCGAAAGAATTGCTGTACAATATTGTGTACAATCATGCAGGAAATGATTATTCTTCCTTATGCTCCGAATTTACAAGGAAAACTGGCCATGGACTGATGAATTTCGTTGGCTTTAGTAATGTAAGTGAACAAGAATGGTCTAGTTTCTTGAAAAATATTCTCGGTCTTAAACACATTCCAGGACAACGTCCTAAGATATGCTTCACAGGCAGTGTAGATGGAGAAAGGGGAATTGTGTACCGCCGAAATAACACAACGTATCTAACCGTGGGATATTTTGTGCAAACCATAGCAACATATCGCGAAAAGTTTCTTGTTATGGCCTGCAAGATGATGAAAGATATTTTCCCGAACTTGAATCGCTGCAAAAACAAAATGGGCAATACCCCTCTTCACCTCGTCTCCTCACTCCCAGGCCATTATGTACAAAATGACAATACCGTACCATTGGTAAAATATTTGATACAGGCTGGCATAGATTCGACGATGTTGAACAGTAATCGCAGAAATTTTCTTCACACAATTTCTTGGAGTTTTGTAGCAGAGGACACGGGGGATGTTGTGAAATGGGTGTCCGAAAACGAATACTTCTATTACTTCATTTGCACCATAAATTCCACCAGATACGTGAAGGAACGCTATGCTATACTACATACGCTTCTGGTAGGATTAACACCAGAACAATTGCTTTTCTTGGTCAGTACCAAAGACAGTTTAGGAAATACCGTAATGCATGGATGGGCACACTTAATGTCTGTGCTGAATGTGGAAAGCGATTTCCAATTTACAAGCTCGTTTTTGGAGATGTTATGTAGCTTTACTGGTTCTGAACCTGGCCTTCCCCTTGACGATACAGACATCAATGGTAACGTAGCTCTTCATTATGCCTTCCACCCCAAAGTTTTTAAGTTTTTTCTCCAGAAAGAAGTCTTTGGTTGCAGAATCACTAATAAGGCTGGGGCAACCCCAGTTTTAACGATGCTGCAGCATTTGGCTGTGCTAGCATTTAACGAAACGTCTGCGTTTGCGGAAATTAAAAGTCTCTTCAGCTGCGGTAACGGTGATTATAAATGGATAAGGTACAAAAGACCACTAATCGAAGAGGCTACAAATATGTTTGAGCAATTTATAGACTTAGTGTCGGATAACGAAGATGTCCAAGAAACGCTTGGAATACCAGATGAGAACGGTAATTACCCTATCAATGTAGTATTGATTACCATTCGAGTAGCATGCTACCGTATAGAGAAGCCTCGTAACAATGTTTTGGACTATACGAAGCTGCGAGAATGTTTGATAAGATTGGTAGGACTGATCCTAGGTACTGTGAATACCATGAAACTACAAAACAACGAAGGTAAGAATGCTCTTCATGTGTTCCTTGATATGGGTGAAGCGAACAATAACAGAGTACTTTACGATGAGGATATTCTAGAAATCATTAAAATACTTCTGCAGCATAATTTAAATGTGAACGCAATTGACGCAAAGGGAAACACACCTCTTCATGTTGCAAACAAGTATTATTATAGTGAAAGCAACAAAAGAATTGCTGAGATGCTTATCAACTATGGTGCAGTCGCAGACAAAAAGCGAGTATTACGATCATGCCCTACGAGACATCAAGACAAAGCACAACGTTTGATTGACAACACTATTGAAGTGACTTTCGTAGGAAAATATCGTTATTGTAGTCAGGATCCAATTGGCTCTGGTGCATTTAGCACGGTCTTTGTGGCAGTGAGAGATGAATTTGTGGAATCAGATACGATTAATTATAAGGCCTTTGCGTTGAAGAGACTGGAGAAGGCAAGGCTTAACGGAGACCAGTTCCAACGTGAAATTAAAAACCTTATTTCGTTGTCTGAAGGATGCGAGAAAATCATCAGATACTACCACAATTTTACCGATAACTCCTTTCATTATATTGTTCTTGCTCTTATGGATGGTGACCTTTATAAATTTATTAAAAATGACAATATCAAACAAGTTGTGATGAGGGATCCAGCGATACAACTGCGAGTTATGAGGGACGTCATTACTGGTGTGGAGTATCTTCATAACAATAACTACATTCACCGCGATCTTAACCCCAGAAACATTCTATACACCGCCGATGCAACATTGCATCTCAAAATCGCTGACTTTGGATTCACAAAAAACATATCGTCGACATCCACAAAGAGTTCAGGAAGAGGTGGACGTACACCATGTTGGATAGCGCCAGAACTACTTGTTCGACAACCATTAGGCCACCATACTAAGCAATCAGATATATTCTCCTTGGGATTGGTCCTATACTACCTTTATACCTGGGGTAGTCATCCTTTTGGAGATTTGGAGCATGAACAGCCTCACCGTATTGTGTCTAGGATTGAGAATTTTGATGAAAGATTTATGCCACAAATATTTAATAGCCATGGGGTTTATCATCCTGAAAGCATTAGTTTCTTCATGGACCTTTTAAAAAGATACCCTTTCCTCCGGTCACGAGCAAACGGCCTTATCCAGAAACCATTTTTTTGGAACGATAGTAAAAAGATTGCATTTCTTAACGCGATTGGTAACCAAGATGAAGCCATTTTTCCGGATCACCACTCACGTTTAGTGCAATTCTTGCAGGAGACACACACTGGCCATATGGTTTCTGTCAGGCCTTGGCATCAGTGGAATACAGTGGTAAGAGATGTGCATAAAGAAATGAGTAGAAATAAACGGTATAGAACAAATATGATAATCGATTTGTTACGATTCATCAGAAATGCGTACGCCCACAGGAATGAAAAGTCTTTTAGGGTTCAAGTTTATCTCGATGACAAGATTTTCCTCCACACATACCCTTCCCTAGTTCTGGACGTTTTTAATGTGATACAAAGACTAGGTCTCCGTGAAAGACGTCGCGATATCAACGATGTTCTAAAAGAAGATCAATAAAGCAAAACAGACCCTAGGTAGCCCAAAGGTATTTGCGAATCTAAATCGTCCATCCACTTTAATATCGCGGTCTGTGACGTAAACACCAATTGCTATACTTGTATATATAGATTGCATATATACAAATATAGCAATATTGTATATATAAGATTGTATATTTACAAATATAGCAATTGATGTTTATGTCACAGACCGCGATATTAAAGTGGATGGACGCTTTAGATTAAAACACAAATACCTTTGGGCTACCTAGGAACAGACGACTTTGGTGTTACCCAAAATAAGGTAACAAAAATTGCATTGGAATTCAAAGATAACCGGACATCTTCGTTTGCCGTTATCATAGATGAAAGATGGATAAGGTTTATAGGTATTGTGCCTTTATCGAGCAACTGTTGGCAGCAAATGCTTATTAATTTAGTAGATTTGGTATATTTATTCAGATGAAGAATCAACAGACCATTTGAAGAATAAATTCAGCCTAAAATTAAATCCTCATCTTACGTCATCGTGAGATGAACGAATATGCTGCCATTTTGGGGGCTCGATTAGCCCACGAAAGAGGTTTAAATAAATCGCGCGAGGGCTCCACGCAAAGCAATATGGTGGACGAATTCAAGCAATGGTGCAGAAATGAACTTTCAAAATTGCTTAGCACGGATGTTGGACGCGAATTTTCTGAGTAAGTACCTTGCAAAATAAAACTTACAGCAATGTTCCATAACATAGTTATGTTTTCTAAGAATATTCGCCGCTTTCTGTCAGATACTTGTTCTCGATTGAAAGCACACCAGATGTGGAAGAGTATTTGTTTCAATTACTGGATAAAGATGACGTGAAAGTGCAGCAATTCGTGAAACAACTGCTCCTCAATTGGCATATCTTAGGAAGGAAAAAGCAAAACGAAAAACGAATTGATAAGGTTGGTTGTTGTGCTCGTACAGATCTAGAATGGATTATTTAGATGAACTGCCCAGTGCCCAAATCTAGGTTTCTCAATCAAAGGCGGCCTCTCCTTTTGAGGTAAGAAAGTTCTAATAATCTAAAATTGTCATGATTTTTCTTTGGCAGCCAAAGAAGAATGGCTCTCAAAATTCTGGATCTGGTAATGAAATACAGAAGCAAACAGTTGTGACGAAAGGGGAGCAATCTCCAGTGAAGAAGAAATCATCACATTTCATCGCGCTCTACAGTGATGAAGGACAAGCAAGAAGCAGCGTGCGTTTGCCAGGACGACATCCATGTGAATGTTTAGGGCAGAAACATAGTCTGGTTAACAACTGTCTACAGTGTGGAAGAATTGTTTGTGAACAAGAAGGTTCTGGTATGTATGCTTCCATGCTTTTAAAATCAACCCTTCTTCCTAGAGGTCCAGTAAAGATTATCTCTAATCATCCAGTGCTACTACAGGAGGAAATCTAAACTAAACTAACTTTATTTATACTGGATAGCTCTATCAGTTCTAAACTGTTCTTCCTAGAGGTCAAGTAAGGATCATCTCTTTTTGAACCAGTGTTATCACAGGAGGAAACCTAAACTAAACTAACTGCATTTATACTGGATAGCTTTATCAGTTCTAAACTGTTCTTCCTGGAGGTCTAGTAAGGATCATCTCTGATCACCTCTTATGATGTTCTGGTTTCCCTAGGTCCATGTTATTTTTGTGGTGAGGTAGTTTGCACAGCTGAAGAAAGGGAAGTACTGGCAAAGAATTCAAAACGGGGTCAAAAGCTGAAAGAAAAGTTGTTGGAAAGCTGGAATGCAAAAGCAAGTGAAGATGTAAGGATTTGAACCTAATGATTCATATTTGCAGATTTTTGTTTCATGGTTGGTTTTTTCAATGTGGATATTCTTAGGAGGAGTTAAAACGTCGTAAAGCAACTGAACTCAAGGACAGATTACTGGAATATGATAGGACAAGGTAATAAAGTAAAACAAAACATCACTTGTTTGTGGTATCACTGACTTTCAAGTGGCTTACAGTTGCTTCTGTGAATCAGTTCTGCTCATAACAGTGGGTAGTCAATGTGTTTCAAAATTGCTCAAATTTCAGATTTTTCGCATATCTCTGAACATAAACTCTCTCTGACTCTCTCATATTCATTTAGAAGTACCCGGGTATTGCAAACTAAAAGCGTGTCAAATATCTGACTGAAAGTTCTTGATCTTTTAGGAAATATACAGTTTCAAAATTTAAACAAAACCTTTGTTTACATTACGGACTGTACCATAGAAATCCCAATAAATATTTTTGAAATAATAAAAGTTAGTCCAGTTGCGTTGTGAGTTCAACTATATCTTGTGCTTCGCGATCACTGACGTCACTGAACTCACGACGCAACTGGACTAACTTTTATTATTCCTATGACTGCACAACTTTGATAACGCAATATTTTACTCTGTCGAAAGTGGACGATTTTACTGAGTTTTTGAAACGTTGTTCTCTGCATTCATATCTAGTGTTCGTCGTACGAAGGTCATCGACGACGAGTCCGATTATTTTGCGTCGGATTCAAAATGGCTCAGCAAGAAAGAGCGCAAAATTTTGAAAGAAAAGGAGGACAAGCTACAAAAACTGAAGCACGGTTCGAGACGAGACAAGAAGGTTACGTTAGATTTTGCTGGCAGGAAAATTATCGAAGAGAAACCGACGGAGGAAATAAACGGTGAGCGGGCATACGTACGCGTTGTACGGCGGGGATACGTGTAAATTGCGCGTTTTGCGGCGGTTTGAAATGCAGCGCAATCATATAGCGATATAAAAATTTCCGGAGGATACAATGAGGAAGGGGGGGGGTGAATTTTTTTGAAATATTACCGGGGGTAGCTTGAGAGAGGTAGGTTAGTTTGGAAGCCGATCCTAAAAAAATTTTGTGAAAATTAGAGAAGCTTCTTTTGATGGTTCTTTCTACACAACATTAGATTTGTCATTAATAAAGACATTCTTGGGTTTCTTCCAGAATTATACAAGTCTGCGGAAGAGTTTCACGATTCGAGCCTTGCCAACAATCACGGATCAAATCATCCAAAATACGTCGCTGAACCACCCCTGGTAAGGACAACGTTTTTACGAAACTATTGTAATATTTAGTCAACCGTGTTTGTGCATGGTTTCTGTGTACTTTTGTAATGTACATCAACCAAGCTTCAAGCATACATATAGTAGGCTCCATATGCTTTGTGGGGGCTGGGGATAGGCCATGTTATCGAGGCCTACCCCTTTACCTTCTGTTTTATCAATTTCTTCTCGACGCCACTAATGAGCTGTTAAAAAGAATCCTCGTCTATTTCCACAGTATGTTGAGGATGACCCGCCATTGTCTGGGAGAAAAGAAAAAGCAAAAAAAACGAAGGTTAAAGAATCGTCACGAATGCTTCGAATAACAGGACAAAGAATTGTTGGAAATGACCGATGAAGGTGAACTATTGTTTGATAATCTCCTTGCTAAGATGTCTGGGGTCTGGACTTTTTTCTTTGATTTCCTTCATCAATGATGTTTCCACAACTAGTCACCAACTTTGATTTTTCCTCTCTGTTCAATATCCTGGAGACAACATGTGGTTATTTTCTTTATTTTTGCAGGAAAGTGCCTGAGCATGCACCAACCGTGGGCTTCTCTACTGGTCTGCGGAATCAAAAAGTACGTATTGACCATTGTCTTCACCGAAGTTATGTGAAATGCAGTTGTGCACAGATAATCAACTTTGCCACGAGCAGATAGTTCCAGCTGTAGTTTAAATTTATATGTATGTAAGCACGAACAGCGAATTTCAAAACCACAATTCGAAAGGCTATCTTAGAATATGTGAAACAGTCTGAAAAGTTTGCAACCTCTACGTCTTTCATTTTGTCAAATGTTTCCAAAAGCAACCCTTTCAATTTTGTTTACACACAGGGCAGAGGGTCGCAGTTGGTACACGACTCACCGAGGTAGACTGTGGATCGCTGCTACGGCAAAACAGCCCAATCAAGAGGAAATCAAACAGATGGAAGCATTTTATAAAGCCCTAGGTGAGCATCGAGTTTGCCAATGCATGATTACGACTCGTATTCCACATTCATTTTTGTCCATTGCCTGCAGGAGAAAAGTCTCGCTTCCCGGAGTTTTACCCCTCTGCATGTCTCCTGGGCTGTATTGATGTGGTGGAGTGCCTGACTCAACAAGAATATAACGAACAGGTAGAAATGGTTCAATATACAACAATACAGTAACGCATTATGTCATGTTATGTTTGATCTAAGTCTTTCGTTAAATTGTAAATGTATTTTTATCGTCAGTTTCCCGACGGAGAGGAATCCTCGTCCGCATTTGTTTTCATTCCTGAAAATCCGCGCGAACTTGTTGTCAAATTTCCTGTGAAAGGCCAGCACAAAATATGTAAGTTCTTACACTTTTTATTATTAGAATTTGTTATTATGGCTCTAACCGGACCTGCAGGAAGAACAGTTTCAAACTAATAGAGCTATCCAGTATAAATAAAGTTAGTTTAGTTTAGGTTTCCTTCTGTAGTAACACTGGATCAAAAAGAGATGATCCTCACTGGACCTCTAGGAAGAACAGTTTAGAACTGATAGAGCTATCCAGTATAAATAAAGTTAGTTTAGTTTAGGTTTCCTCCTGTAGTAACACTGGATCAATAAGAGATGATCCTTACTGGACCTCTAGGAAGAACAGTTTAGAACTGATAGAGCTATCCAGTATAAATAAAGTTAGTTTAGTTTAGGTTTCCTCCTGTAGTAACACTGGATCAATAAGAGATGATCCTTACTGGACCTCTAGGAAGAACAGTTTAGAACTGATAGAGCTATCCAGTATAAATAAAGTTAGTTTAGTTTAGGTTTCCTCCTGTAGTAACACTGGATCAATAAAAGATGATAGAGCTTATTCAGTGTAACTGATAAGGAAAGGTCAGTGTAGACCAGAAGGTCAGTTAGCGAATTGGATAATTGAGTGTCATGTGATCATTTAGGGAAACTGGACAAACATATTCATCAGGCCGCCCGGAAGGGGATTACGTGACCGCAACAAACTATTATCATAAAGGGTTATTGATAAATGATAAAAGATTAGTTATTACAAATTGAAATTTTGTATCAGGTTTATTAAAATATCTGACTTGATTGACTTCAGAACTATTTATATTCTTCAACGTTAGTTGTGATTGTTCAAAATTTAGTGACGCACATGCGCGCGATGATGACGCGCGTGCGCAATTGCAGCCATGCTATGATGACGTCACAATCAGAGCAAATCATTTAATAGCAAGATGTCGTTTTTTAAAAAAGTATAACACGAAATCTAGAGGTAACACGAATGTCTGAGCGATTCGCAACACAGAAACAATGAGATTCCGTTGCCCTTGTTGCCGGCGCCAAATTATGCCGTTGGAGGAAAGCTTCGAGCAAGACCCGGAGACGGGAACCGCTTATCCTGAAAACACCGGCCAGTTCATCTCGATTGCCGTGGGTCGCGGGAATACGGACGAGACGACGGCGGAAATGCAGGAGGTTATTATCGATGATGGCGAAAGGTTTTCTGTGAAAGATGAAACGTTCTCTGAGATCTCAGGTTAGTTTTGTAACTTCTTTGTTCAACTTAGAGAAAAATTTATAAGGATCGAGAATACATCAATCGAAGTAACGATTACCGATTTAGCACTTCCAAAACCTCAAAGTAACTACCGCAAACGGATTCTTAGTGGTGCAGTACTGTAGAGTAATCTTTCTCAGGCGAAAAAGGCATCTTCGCTTAATCGATTTTAGCACAGCGTACCCATTATGCCAGGACGTAAAATTTGAGTTAATAGAGTCTGTGTTTGAAAGAAATACACGCCCCATCTGAAAATCAACAATATTGTAAAAAATGTTGCGTATGGCTAGCGACGTAGCGTCGATAAATAAATCTGTAAGCAACTAATTCTCCCTGTCCTAAAACTAGAACCTAGAATCGAAACGGGTTTGCAAACATGCCGAAGAGGCATAGTCAGAGGCATTCGTTCGTAGCAATCGTTACGAGTTTCTGCCTTTAATTAAAAACTGCCCTCTTAATTAAAACACTGTATAAAAGATAACGAGAAAAGTAAAACACCTAATTCCATATACATACATAGCAAAGCTATTTTTTGGGATTAATTCGGATTCCAAAAGAGAGTCAGTTAGCCCGCAAAATACTGCAGAACAATTAAATCGCGCCTGCATATTAGGACCGCAAAAAACCTGTACATTACAAAATGACTTTGACGGGAAACTGGGACTTGAACTAACGCTAAGTGATTTAAGATTTGGGTTGAAGCAATCTTGAAGTGTTTTGACTACTTCGAAATTCTTGCACTGTTCGTCTGAAAGGTACATTCTTTAATACTTTTATAGCTCTTGTATTTTAAAAAGTACAGAGGAATAAACTAGGTTGAAATAGACCCGTCGCTGTCAGCACTTCATGCTTGGTATTACTCAAACCAGATGCTTTAAAATCGCAAAGTTTTCCGGCAACGTCAAAGCGCTTAAAAAAGTTTTGATTAAGCAGTCAAATGCAATGGTTTGTGCAAAGCGGTTTTGTGGGTAGCCGCTGTACATGACATTATTATTGCCGTGATGTTTACAATCTAACGAGTGTATAGGCTTTAACTAATTGTTAGTTGTATGAAAGCAGATAGGTGAAACTTTCAGTCTGAGAAATTGACTGAGTTGGTATAGTCACCTGTTCTGATGGACCTAGCTTTCCTTGCGAAGTCTCGAAGATGCGCACTCCATGTCTATTTTTAGCTCAGTGGACCTCGTCATAGTGCCGTTTTTGACACTGCGAAAGTGTATAAATAGTGCGACTTTTTGACACGTTCGTAGTCCGTAAAATGAACTTGTCTTACGTCAGACTGTTGTGTCTGTGTACTGCGGTTGAACAATTTCAATCAGTTATGACGTTATTATTTAATCACGAGTTATTAATGTATTTGAAAACTTTGAGGTTTGCATTAAAAGCCGCATTCGCTAAATTTTGAGAGTCCGTAAATATTCAAAATGTATTTCACAAGTTCCCATCAAATGTGGCATAACAACTGCCTAAAATAGACAAAAACACTTCTCGACGTTTTGACTTAAGAGCGTTCGCTGGTATTTAGTCATATACGGACTATTCTGAGTTTCATCGAAAAAGGCCTTTGACGGTGTTTTGGTCGACTCTTGGCAGTTGTTATAAAACGTTTGATGGGAATTGTTTGAAGACGCTGCTACGCCGCATCGAATTCCATAGGATTCGTCACCTGAACAGGTTATTCTCGTTATATTTGTGTCTTTATTCAATGATAGCACATACTGGCATTCTTCCTTCGGCCTTGCAACTGCTGATTCTGTCATGGCTACAGCCTATGGACAACAAGGCAAACACGAAGCTTTTTGGAAGCGCTAAGGCTGTGAAACGCGAGCAGACGAGACACAAAGCCGCTGGTTGGATCATCCATCCTTGCAGTGCGTTTAGGTAGGTCAATGATTGGCCGCATGATTCTGATTGGTCAACTGCGGCCGTATATTTGCCAATCAGAATCGTGTTTCGTTCCCGAGCTACGTCATAACGCAGACTTCTTATAAAGGTCTATACTTACAGGTTAAAACTTTCTTTCATATTATTTGTTTTCAGATTATATTGGAATATGTTAATGATGTTATTACTCGTTGTCAATATGTATGCGTTACCGGTCGCAATCACCTTTTTTACCGACGCTTTACCGTTGTCCTGGATAATCCTTAATATCCTGTCAGATGTATTCTTTATGACTGACCTTATCATTAACTTTCGAACTGGAATTATGGTGACCGACATGAGCTACAAGTTCATTTTGGAACCAAAGAAGATTGCTGTGAGGTATAAATAAGTAAATTTGTATTTCTTAATTTGGTTGGGTTTGTATTTGTCTTGCTTCACTTTTCATCTTCCACCTCACTTCACCTCGTACACCTTCCCAAACCTTTACTTTACCCTACCTCACCTCACCAAGAATAATCCCACCTTATCCCGCCTAATCTCACTTCACCTCACCCCTCGTGTTCCCTATCTTACCTCGTTTTACCTTACCCCAACTTAAGCATCCTGCTTTCCTTACCTCACCTCACCTCATGCGCCCTTCACCTTACTTCATGCACCCAACTTTACCTCACCACAGTCTTCACCTCACCTTATGCACCCTACTTTACCTCACCACACAACACTACACCTCACCTCACCTCACCTCACCTCATGCATCCTACTTTACCTCACCACACTACACCTCACCTCACCTCACCTCACCTCACCCCACCTCACCTCACCTCATGCATCCTACTTTACCTCACCACACTACACCTTACCTCACCTCACCTCATTTCACCTCACCTCATGCATCCTACTTTACCTCACTGCAGTCTTCACCCCACCTCATGTACCATACCACACCTTAGTCCTCACCCCATGCACCCTACACCTTACCTCACCTCACCTCAGCTAACCTTACTGCCTTACTTTTCAGATATCTTCGAACGTGGTTTTTGGTCGATCTTATCTCCTCCTTACCGCTGGACTATATCATCTCTGCCATCACTCGTCATAAAGACTCCGAGTTAGTCGGAGCATCGCGGGCTCTCAGAGTGCTAAGACTTGCTAAACTTTTGAGCCTGCTGCGTTTATTGCGGGTTTCCAGGCTTGTACGTTACGTAAGCCAGTATGAAGTGGTAAGTCTGTTGAACTATGTCATTCCTTAGGCACATGGTTACTAGTTGTGAAACTCCTGAAAACGATTTTTGACTGCCAAAGCCCAACAAACCTTGGGGTTATATGACTTATATCCATAGCAAAATGTTATGAATTTAGGTTGCTTTTCTTTTAAACCGATGTTTCTGCACCATTTTAGACTTGATAACACACTGCCAGATTTAGTTCAGAGTTATATAGAAATACGCTTCTTTCGCAGATTTTTAACTGGACAAAATCGTTTATAAAATTCATCAATCTCATCGCCGTGATGTCGTTAGTAACCCACTGGAATGCATGTCTACAGTACCTCGTACCATCCTTGACTGATTTCGATAGCAGTTCCTGGGTTGAGATTCATCATCTTCAAGTGAGTGCATTCATTATTGTCTAAATAATCAGAAGAGTCGGATGTTTGCAAAAACCGGCATGGTGAGAAATATGATGCACCATTCTCGTCTGCCAGTGGCCAGTTGTGCAAAGCTGGATTTCGCCATATATCAGATAGTGGCTTTTTAATTCCATCTCAAACTACCCACAGTACGGTGAAACTTCATTAAACTGATTAAACCTCAGTATTCTCAAAGTAGAGTTTCGCTTCGTCAATCTTTAGTTTCATTGGTTTCAAGAACTTACATCGGTTGAAAAAGGCTATCTGGAGGCACTAAGTTAATATTTCATCTTTGCTTCGCATTTTAGAACGAGCAATGGTCCACGAAATACGTTTGGTCCTTGTTTAAAGCCATGTCTCATATGTTGTGCATCGGTTATGGTCGCTTTCCTCCGCAAAATATTCAAGAGGTTGTTGTCACCTGCTTCAGCATGGCCACTGGAGCGACCTGTTATGGGATATTCATTGCTTACTGTATCTCCACCATCCAACAGACTGACTCATCACGTAGGCAGTACTATGAGAGGGTAGGCAATTTGAAATTGTTTTCCTGTCCCACAAGCACCGCTTGTCTTGAATTGATAGAGCTATCCAGTATAAACAACTTTAGTTTAGTTTAGGTTCCCTCCTGTAGTATCACTGGATTAATAAGAGATGATTCTTACTATAGCTGTGAAAAGTCGTTTAGTTCTGATGAAATATTTCCGTACAGATAAAGTTATAAATCAATTAGTCGAAAGTGTATTAGGTAATTTTGTCTTTTAACTTTTTAGGTTCAACAAATTGCGGAGTACATGTCTTATCGCAAATTACCCACGACGATACGAGAAAAAGTTTTGAAGTATTTTGATCATCGCTACAAGGGAAAGTTCTTCGACGAACGGGCGATATTGGGAGAAGTTTCTTCACCATTGAGAAATGTAAGGCCCGCTTTAAGCTTAGCAAATTTGCCTGCGCACATGGAACTGACCGAACTGTTCATAGAATGGAACTGTGCAACGTATTGCCACCATCCATCATCTCCATTCCGTATCACCCCCACATCCTATTACCTTTAGTTCATATCACCTCACCTCCCTTTCACCTTCTCTTATCACCCCCACCTCTTATTACCTTCACTTCATATCACATAACCTCTCCTCCACCTTTCCTCCACCTCTCTTCCACCTTCCCTCCACCTTCCCCCCACCTCTCTTCCACCTTCCCTCCACCTTCTCTTCACCTCCCCTCCAACTCCCCTCCACCTCCCCTCCACCTCCCTTCCACCTCCCCTCCACCTCCCCTCAACCTCCCCACAACCTCTATCACCGCACCTCAAATCACTCCTACCTTTCCTCCCATTTAAATTTGATCAATTCTTGTTAAAACTAATGGCATTTTCTTTCTCACCTCTAGGAGATAATCAGTCACAACTGCAGTGATCTCGTAAGTGCTGTGCCGTTCTTTAGCGAGGCGGATCCAGTCTTCGTCTCCGCCATTATAACGAAGCTACGTTTCGAAGTATTTCTTGAAGGGGACATAATCATACGGGAGGGAACTATAGGGACGGAGATGTACTTTTTGCGGGAAGGCAGTGTTGAAATAAGAACAAACGACGACCTCCAAAATGTCCTGAATGATGGCTCGTATTTCGGAGGTAGGATCCTTAATTCCGTTTTTCAGGGCCAGTTCATGGAACCATTTATTTGACAAAAATTTTGTCCAGATTCATTAATAATTTCTATTTTTTATAATTGCCTGGTTATGTTCTTAAGTAATACAACATTAGGAGCAGGTTTTTCCTCACAAAATGATCAGGTTATGCGTTGATTTGGTTACTTCCATATTTCAAAAATATTTGGATTGGTTGGATTGCAGAAAAACAAATGCGATGAAAAATTTCAAAACTGAAAACACAATCCAAAGTCAACATTTTGAAGCCTAAAATATTGGTTTAGAGATGGCTAAAAGAGATGGCTAACTATGAACAGTCAATCGATGCTAAGAGGCAAACTTTTCATGTGCCGAATCGAATGCAAACGAACTCACTCGGAGACTCTGACTCGTTCACCGTATTAGATTCGGCAGATGAACAGTTCGCTTCAATGTGCTTTCGTTTATCATCGCGTCTTCAAATCATTTTTGTCTAGAAATTTGTCTCCTCACAAACGCTCGACGGATTGCGAGTGTCATAGCCACATCCACCTGCGACACTTTCGTTCTCAGCACGAGTGACTTCCACGAAGTGTTAGAAGACTTCCCGGAGATGCGGGAGAAAATGGAAAAGGTGGCCGAGGAACGCCTGAACTTTATCAAAAGGCAGCGCAATCGCCGTGCGTCGATGCATCCGCAACCAAATGGCACCCCTGCGACCGCTAATCACCCAGAGGTGTAGCATGCGGGCTTGCATAATTGTGTCGGCAAAAAAAGAGCTAGTCGGTCCATAGATAGAACGGGCGTAGTACATGTAAATAAGTTAAGAACTATTAAAAATGTCCAAACCTTTCTTAAAGGCAAGCATTTTATATGCTGTAGTTCGCCATATATTGATTAAGGCTTACTGCTTACAGATTTTCAGACATTCGATAATCGATATGTAGCTTTTCCATTTCAAAAGAATCGCTAATCGCCAATATCACACACAAAAGTAACAAGTTTTACTTTCGGTTTTACTATCGTGTTTTCAGGTACAAATTGAAAGACGCCAATTAAATAAATGTTTAAAATATTTGGCGGTTTGCAAAGGGTCGTATTGAATTACACTGCATTTGCTCTTTGCCAACAATTTCGGGAAAAAAATTCCAAAAGTTACGAGAAAGCGTTTGAGGGAACACTGGAGAATTTTTTTCGCCAGCTCTTTGTTTGTTTTGAAAATAATTTATTTAAATTCCCAGTACCTGTCGAATTAATCAGGTTTCGTCACTTGCAGAAATATTTATTCATGAGCATATTTATAAACAAAATATGTGATATTTGGTAACGAGGATTAGCCAGCGAACGAGAATGGCGTCTTTGGTAGTGTTATGCTTATTCTCAACTTTATTTGGTCGACTTTATGCTGGTAAGTTTTGTGAAGTTTGTAGTTGTATCATACCTTTTTCCTGAGTTTGAAGTCCGCTTGTTTAACTCAGCATATTTGCTACGAACCACAAGGGATCGAATTCCCAAACGTAGAGAATACAAATGCTGTGGCGAATATAAATAACACTCAAAGTGTATTGTACTTGCTATGAAACCGTACTATATTGATAGCCAGTTTAATGTTCTATTTCTAGCGAGAATTCTGAGAGTTTTAGAACACTTTTTAGCTCTCAATTGCGACATTATCTTGTGCTTATTTGCCGCATAGGTTTGGCTTTGTACATAGTTGACATTTTAATAAACGAAATATAAGCAATTTCCTCGTTCGAGTAAAAGAATTTCTGCATGTAGATAGCTTTTAAACGTTGAAATTTGTCTCAAGATATCCCAATGCTGTATGTGATCAATTCTATATCAATTTTACCGCGAGAACACTATGAATTTGATTCCAACTGAGAAACTACATTCCAACTGACAGTGTTACAAAATTGACGCGGAATAATAATAATATCTCTCGTTTCTTTCAATGGCAAAGTTAGTTCAACCAACAACGACTGCGGGTCGTTAATATTCTTTCAAAATGACACCACAAACTGTGATATGAACCACAAAATAACCTGGTATGCTACGACTTCGCATTCGTTTAATTCTGTCGTGAGTGTATAAAAACATTTCCGGCGATAAAGTTGCTTTAAACGTTTAAAGTAATATTTCAAGACTTTCGTTCTTAGCCTTAGGAATTTTGGCCGGCAGCTGTGAATCAGAGCAACTTCATTACTTAACGTTTTCTATTGTCAAATTAATAACTTAGATCAGTTAATAAAAGTACGTAGTCGTAGTTGAACGTTCATTATTTCTATTTTAATATGGTCAGTCACCGCTTGTGGCATTATAGCATGCCTCTCTAAGCCATTATTAACCCCGTAATTATACTTTAACGTCAGAGTCACCGATATTGGCTTACTAATTATTTCAACAACAGTGCCAACGGCCCGTTGGCGTTGCTCACGGGAAAATCTCGTGTGTTATCGACAAATTTTTATGGCAGCAGTCAAATTTGTGAAGTTGTTGCATGTCTATGTCTAACTCCCGGACTGATAGGTTACTACGACGATTGTAAGTCGCAGAAGAGAATATGTTGATATGGATTAAATTAGGACGAGAAGTCGGGAACTAAATTAGTATAAGGTTACAACTATTGTCTAGAAATATTGTTAGATGATTCTAAAGAGCTGCTTTTCATTCCTATTTTACGGCTATAAATGATTCAATCCTCTTTAGAAAATTTACTATAGCGAATATATCTATTCTGTTTATTCTATTGCAATATAAACTTCGAGTGGCCGAAATTCTGCAAGTCTTATTACTTTTGTTCTATATTTTTATAACATTTTTTTTATATGTTATTGATTTCCAGGTCGTTTTCTCTCTCAGTCGCTGAAGTTTAATGCGTACGGAGTGCCAGAAGGAGACGATTTCAAGTTCACGTGCTCAGTCACACACGAAGACAAAAGACCAGAAATACAATGGTATTTTGTGAACACCATAACGTCGACGAGGAAAAACCTCACGGGCTTCAAAAACAGTGGAAAAGGTGAGAATCCTTTGCAGTTTAATGTGGATAATAAAATTGAAAGACTTGTCAAGCAATATTGAGCAATATTTTATTCCAAGCAATGCGATTATCTGATTTCGAGTTGATCCCAATTGGTTCCAAGGCCTCACATAAATCTAATCAGAGACTTTCCCTGGCCTGTTTTGATTCAGTCTTCTGATTAAACTTATTGTTTTTATCCTCTCTATTCCTCTGGTCTAATCATCTCTGATCTCCTAACTCCATTCCAATTCAATCCAATCCATTGAAATCCCCACTAGATTAGAAATGGATCACGATTGGATTCTGAATGAACCATGATATGATTCTGACCTGATCACGATTTGATTCGGACTCGATCTTCTAACACAACCTAAACTAACTCAATCCTGAATTAATCCGGTTACGATTAGGTCTTAGATTAGGTTTATGATTAATTAAAGTTAACCCGAACCCCTAATCTATCAAAATCCAGACTTAATCTCAAGTATAAACTCAAGTATTTAGAATTCACTGAACTGATGTTATTACCAACGTCTTCCCGTTCAGATAAAACAGCCACAGTGGATTATTATAAAACCAATGCCAAACTTGAGGACAGCGGGGACTATCATTGCTTTGCGAAGGTCGGTGAAGAAGAATACGAGCAGAAAGCCATCGGTGTTATCCCCATATATGTTTTCAAAAGTAAGTAGAGTTCCACTAACATTTAAACTTTAAAGGCCCGTTTACACTTGCAATCTTATACGTGCGATTTTCTTCTTTTGAAAGATGTGAACGAGTGAATTAGTTACGAATGTTCAAATTGGAGATCGTACACATCACAGCATTCGTAACTAATCACTTGTTCACATCCATCAAAAGAAGAAAATCGCAGCGAAAATCGCAAGTGTAAACCGGCCTTAACACTTGTATTCAAAAAGCTCACACACTCTAGCTCATTGAATGTGACTTAGAAACTCTATTATTATTATTTATCAATGCCAAAGGCCTTTCTTAATCAGTAGAAAGACAGACTAGAAACGAACTAAAGAGAATCAATCGGGCATAAGACGAATATATCAATATGCACCCCCCCCCCAATTGGGCTTCTAGCGCCGGCCCTGGATGGATCCAGAGTAAAATATTACCCTTGAGTCAAGGCTAGTTTCCACTCAGCAAAAATCTTCCTTGGATCGGAACGGACAGGAAAATTTCCTTTGTCTGTGAGTTCTCAGGCGGCATTTATACGAAGGAACCTTTCCGGTCCTGTCCGAACCAAAGGAGAATTTTCCTGAGTGGAAACTAGCCTTCACGCTCACCCTCTCAGTCCCCGTGTACGTACCCAAGGCACGTTTTCTTCAATGACAAACACTGATGTACTTTGATGGTTTTCAGAGGAAGATAAACCAATAGTGAGGACACGAAGGGATAGAGCGAAAGACGGCAAGTGGATCCTTACCTGTGAGGTGTATCCCAAAGGTAGCGGCTTCCTGTCCTGGCATTACGACGGCCGACGAGTTACAAAAGAGGAGAAAAATAAGTTCGATGTAGAAATTATGGTCGACAAACTAAAATACGAGACTTCAACAAAGGGTGAATACAAATGTCGAGGAAATTGTTCATTGGGTGGATACAGATATTATTTAAGTTCATCGTATATCACAGGTATGGGATTGAGAAAATACATGGCCAAAAATTGATCAGGTTATCGCATTAGGAGTGAACCATTTTGTGCTGCACCCCATGAACAAGTATTGTTAAGTTGAACCATCTTGAACCATCAATGAGTTGCAAGAAGTTAAAACAGTACAAGAGTTCAACAGCCATTGTTAAAAGTACTGCATGTTAATATTCGCCGGAAAATGGCAAATATACGACCATGGTCATATTCGCCGGAAAATGGCAAATATACGACCATGGTCATATTCGCCGGAAAATGGCAAATATACGACCATGGTCATATTCGCCGGAAAATGGCAAATATACGACCATGGTCATATTCGTCGGAAAATGGCAAATTAACGACCATGGTCACATATTCGCCGGAAAAAGCCAATTATATGACCGGGTATTCACAGGGTGCAGTTCAACATTGTTCACTCCTGTTTTTAACAACTTAGTGGAACTGCGTTGCATGTTGCAAGAAAACCTATCTGCAAAATAGTCCTAACTAGAAAGTGGTGATTTTAAAATGCGGAAATCGTGTATGCGTTCTGGGAGACATGTCCCAAAAAATCTTCTGTATTTTTGACTCTCTGCGACCTGATTTTCCGCATTTTGGGGGACATTTACTAACGTATCCATCTTGGCAATGCGTGGTTTGTTGAGAGAATACCATTAATACATTCTTCATGGTTATACCTGGGGAGGTATAACCATGAAGAATGTATAAATGGTATTCTCTCATTCCTCAATATGGTAGGGGGGAGAATCTGTCAATATGGTAGGGGGGGATCTGTCAATATGGTAGGGGGGTTGTCGAAGGAGGTGCTGGTAGTGTTCCCCCCTAGTTATGTTATGTAGTTACAAATGCGTGCCTTAGGGAAACGCTTTCAAGGGAATCTTGCATGCGTTTGTGAAGTGGATTCCTCTTACGGTACTAAGATATGTTTTATCGCTTCGTGTTTAGCGGCGTCTGGTTGGTCCTACACAACAACACAAACGACATTCTTTACAACGATTTTGTTCTGTTTTGCCGCCATCTTAAACCTTGGATAACGAAAACAACATGGCGGATTTCTCGGAGAAAGGTTTGGATGTGTTTGCAACAGTGTGGAACGGTATCTTTATTCGTATTTCGATATTTGTAGAAGTAGGATTTCGGATTGTCGCATAGTCTTCGCATGCAAACGAGTTTTTTCTTCACTACGCTTAATTTTATTACAGTTGTAATATATTTCCAAACGGCTTAAGAAATTGAACGGGTAGTTAGCAAATCGATAGCTCGTAAATGGCTTTTTTTTTAAAAAAACAGTCGCATCAAACGAATATATAATAACGCAACGCTAGGCAAGTGAAAGTTCAAATTACGAAGAAGTGTTTTTGCATGGTAAAAGTTTCAGATATATTCAATGTATGACAGTTCATAAAAGCTGCTGGTAACCACGGCTATAGGTTAAATATGATAATACCCATTCTCGCCTAAAAATATGTTAACGTGATAACCCGTGTGCTTTTATTAAATCTTTTTTCCCAATACAAACAAGATATATATTTATATTTTTTAAAGCCAACTTTTAAAAAAAATTTTAATGGCGGCCATGATCTATTACTATATTACTATAATTTATTTACAATTAATAATTTATACTTGATCTGTACAATCTTTAGTTCGATTACCCCAAGTACACGCGACTGGTTTCCTGTATAAATATCGCTCTATACTATCAAATTATTTCTTAACAGTTCAGTTTCATGAGGAATCTACCTTAGGCATAATCCTATAGCTAATTATGTATGTCCAACCATGGCGTACATTCTTTTAATCACGGCAATTTAAATTTCTGAACAACGTTTGTATATTTCATCACAAGAAAGTCCTCCACCAAAGTGACGTTAAGACAAATGCGACCAAATACAAACTCCTCCAAGCAGAATTTTTCAAGCCGCCGCTCACTTGGAAAAGAAAGCAAATTTGGTTAAGTTAGGGCTTGAAGCATGAATTTTTAACTTTAGCGCGAGATTCTAGACTTTAAAAGAGACTAGTTAATTCCACCTCCTCCAATGCAGCAGGATCCAGGAGGATTTTAAGCTATATTATAAAGACCTTTCTTTAAATTATAAGATACAATTGGCAATCAATCTCGATATATTTTTGAATTTTGACAATTCATTTAATGTATCTGGATGAGTTAAGAAACCTCTTCTGTCATGGATTAAACCAAGCTATATCAATTTTACTGGTGATCAGCTTGCTGAGGCTGCTACGATCGATTTATGAGGCCGAAATCATATGTTTGTTACTATCAACTTCCAGTGTCAAATGGGATCCTCAATTTCACATAATTAAACCTTTCTGAAATATAGCTAAAATTCGTCAAGGTGGGACACGCATACCCACAGTCTTTTGAAAACCTTTAAAAAGCTCACGTGAAATGTTTACCTGTAAATTCTCCTGTTAACAACGTCACACTTGAGTCGCTCCAATCCAAGCTATACTCCGTTGTATTAGCGACACATGTATAGTTCCCAAGATCCTTTTTGGTCAGACATTGCAGTAACAAATAATGTTCCCCGTATTTAACATCTTCAATCGATTTCTCCGATAACGTCTTTCCATCAAACAGCCATTTTATTGAAAGTTTTGTTATCTCAACGTTGCTGGAAACATTACATCGTAACACATGACGGTGTGTTCCATTTACAACGGCTTGTGTCTGTGGGATACTGACAGTTATCCTAGGAATATCCTTGTCTGAAAAATACAGGATATTGACTATATCATTATAAGGGTGTAAACAGTAAAGATGGCAAGATAAACTCAAACTGAAGTCGATTAAATTCGGACATCTTGATAAGATTGTAAAAGTTTTGCCCAGTGTGAGCTATGGGATATAAGGTGGTGTTACACCATACAAGTTTCCTGGAAACTTGCAATACAATTCTACTCCTGAGGCATCTAAAGTTGACAAATACGAACATTTCGTACGATCTGCTAACGTTTTCTTATCATTTCGAACACTCTTCACTAATTAGCATCTCTCAAAATTATAATTGCAATATTATAATTGCATTGCAAGTTGCAAGGAAAATTGCATAGTGTAACAGCGCCTATAGGATATACTGTGCGATTTTGTTGCAGAAATTTATCTTTCTTTCTTTCTGTGAAGTGCACAACAAATATTTGTAGCTTCAAGTAAACTATAAATATCATAATGTTGCTGTTTGTTGATTCTAGAGAGAGATATTATAAGGTTTTTATGCACAGCGCGTGTGGAAGATCGAGGGCCGTTTCGTATTTTTTCGTATAGCAACCATGTTTGATATATATGCGGCGTTTTCGTATACCTGGCACGTATTTCAACGCTCTGTTTTTGTTTTTTGAGTCGCTTTTTGATTTTGCCTTGCAATAGATGTACCACAGTTTATTTGGTCTTTCGTACACTCTGTGTGTGAAGATACTTATCGTCTTGTTGTCTGCATAAAGAAATATCGAGCGTTAGTTGGTTTCCATGGTGAGACTAAATGTTGTACCAACAAATTGTACCAACATTTGCTCAGCTGTGTTTGTTATTAAGATATCCAGTATATGCTATAGCGCAAAATATAATTTGTTATTTAAACTTACAAAAATAAAGTTATCAACGAAATTAACTTTTTATTTAATAACGGATAGCTCTATCAGTTCTAAACTGTTCTTCCAGTAAGGATAATCTCCTATAGATCTAGTGTTACTATAGGAGGAAACCTAAACTAAACTAACTTTATATACACTGGATAACTCTATAAGTTTTAAACTGTTCTGTCTAGTGGCCCAGTAAGAATCATCTCTTATTGATCCAGTGTTACTATAGGAGGAAACCTAAACTAAACTAACGTTATTTATACTGCATAGCTCTATAAGTTTTAAACTGTTCTGTCTAGAGTCCCAGTAAGGATCATCTCTTATTGATCCAGTGTTACTATAGGAGGAAACCTAAACTAAACTAACTTTATTTATACTGGATAGCTCTATAAGTTTTAAACTGTTCTGTCTAGAGGCCCAGTTAGGATCATCTCTTATTGATCCAGTGTTACTATACAGAAGGAAACCTAAACTAAACGAACTTAATTTATACTGGATAGCTCTATCAGTTCTAAACTGTTCTTCCTAGAGGTCCAGTAAGGATCATCTCTTGTTGATTCAGTGTTACTACAGGAGGCCGGAAATCTAAATTAAACTAAATTCATACTGGTTAGTTTCTTCTTCATAGACGATTTATAATTTTCCTGCATGCGCGGGTAAATATGTAGTGGTGCCTGCTACTGCTATAGCTATATAGGGCTGTAGGGCTATATGGTATATTTGCAAAGATCCGAGGTGCAAATAACATAGGTATCAACTGGTTGATGATTGCCAAGAGGTCCATTCACACGATCCAATTTTGTTGTATCCAATTCACTTTTCACGTATGGAATGTATTTGTGGTTCATAAAGCAATGCTGCGTTAGCTTCATTCGATTTGCTGCCCATATACATTGCAATTCAACAGACTATAAACCATCCATCAGAAGTGAATTGGATCCGAATAAACACGTACCTTTTTTCCACGTGTCGATATCTGTGTTATTTGTAGAGTTTGTGATAGCCGGTGTATTGCTGTTCTGATAATGCCAAGAAACACTGATTGGGTTCCCTTTGCTGTCACTGGAGACGCACTTTAACTTGACAACATCGCCTTTGAAAACGTGAATTCTCCGCGTCGGTTCAAGTTGTGTTAGTTCGATTTCGATTTCAGCCCCAGTCAAAACGATCAGACCTTGCCATAAATAAATCAAGATAAGCGAATGAAATTTATTCATGTATCAAATTAAACCCTTGAGACTTGAGTTGAGATGAGCAATGAATCGATATAGACGACTATTCTCACTGGGCGCTTCGCTAAACAATACCATATTAATGCGTTAAAACTTAATGCAAATATAAGCAGCATCAGAGTAATCGCATGAATAAACACGGTTGGTATAAAAGACCGGGAAAACAGCAAATTTTCACATTTTGCCACGAAGACGACCTGGCTGCATATACAGGAAGGAATTTTTTGCTGTTGGAGTGTCGCAGCCGAGCCATAAGTTGGATATGGACGACCCAGCCGTTCAACCTCGGGCAGTGCATATTGACGCGGTTTTAGCAGAACACCAACCACCTCAGCAAGCCGTACAGTTAAACGATATTGCAGTCGAGATCAATAACCCCGTAAATCCGCCAGTACAGCTTCAAGAGCCGCGTATACTCAGTGCAGGTTTCTCTTCGTATTGTTTTTACTCGGCAGGGTTCGTGTGTATAACCCTTTCCATACTTGCCTGTTGCTAGATTAGGTAACGGGTTGAGGGCAGGAGCTTTGTATCCTATAATTATTATAGTTGTTCCTTAGTATACTAATAGCACTGTTATATCTCCCCCGCGTTTTAAAAGACATATAGGAAATTTTTTGCCTTTGGTCTAGTACAGGATATACATTCTTTACGCCTTTGTTGAGGCGGCATCAAATTCCTTTTGATTTGAATTAAGGGTTTAGATTTATGATACCTTTGTTGAAGCAATTTGCCACTTCGGTTTAATTACGCCTTTGTTGAGATGGCCAAGATTACCTACACTTGCGTTTAAGCGATATAAATTTATAGGCCTTTTGTTGCATTTGGTTAAAATACATAAATAAAATGTTTACGCATGCTTTTTGTCCAAGCGGCATAAGTAGCCTACCTCTACGCTTTTGGTGAAGCGGTATAGATTTACGATGTTTTTCTTGCACTCAATCTAGATTTATTTACGCTTTTGTTGAAGCGATATACGCCTCCCAGTCTACGCTTTTGGTGAAGCGCTATGAGATTTACGCTGCTTTATTGAACTGACCTAGATTGGTTTACGCTTTTGTCGAAGCGAAATAAGATTACCCAGTCGACGCTTTAGGTGAAGCGATATATACGTTTATGAATTAAGATGCTTTATTGAACTGGTTTAAATCTACTTCCGCTTTGGGTGAAGCAACCTCTGAACGCTTTTGGTGAAGCAGTAGGGACTTACGATGCTGAATTGAACCATGCAATCTAGATTTATGCTTTTGTGGAAGCCATATAACTTACTTCTACGCACTTTTGGGGCAGCAGTGTAATTTATGATGCGTTTGCTGTACCAGTCTAGACTCATTTACGGTTTTTCATTTGTTGGTGTGCGAGTATAGGTTACCAGTCCATACGCTTTTGGAGAAGAGGTGTGAATTTAAGTTTTTTGTTGAGGCAATTTCCCATTTACAATTTATTTACGCTTTTGCATTTAGTTGAGACGAACAAAATTGCTGGCTTGCGATCCAGCGATAGAAATTCATGGTGCTTTCCTTGAAGTCTTAAAAAATTGTTTACGTTTTTCCTCAAACCGGTGTAAGTTTCACGTACCTCTAATGCTTTAGTGAGGCTGTATGGATTAATGCTGCTTGTGTTCCAGCAATATAGCTCACCTATGAATTGCGACCGGTGTAAACCCGGACTTACGCTCCTGATGAATATTGTGATTTTTATAGATTCTGCAACACATATAAACGAACTTCAATGTTGTAAAAATCACACAAACTTTAAAAAATGTATTCTGCGTTGTTACGTACCAGGCTTAGATTCGGATTGTTCTACACACGCCGTGGATTTATGATACGTTTATTTACGTAATTACCCATTTGGGAGTACTTAGCTATATTTTTCGTTGAGGCGACCAAAATAGGGGCGAATCTACGTCTTGGTGGTAGCGGTATTAAAACGGTTTAGAACTGTTTATGAATTATGTACTTGTTAAAGCTATAGATTACGTTTATTGTTTACGGGAAATCATCTGCGCTTTGCTCTACCGGAATTATGTGCCTGGCGCGCACACTTTCTTTCGATTTTTGAATCTTTGGATTAAAGATCTCCCTTTCTCTTTGGACAAACTCACTGATCCCCCACGTTATGTTAAAAAGGACCACTACCAAACAGTCATGCATGACAAGAGTGGTTACGATCACGTTCTCCCTACCAAGCGTAGTCAGGCGTTTTTCGGTCTCCAATGATTTTCCCCCGTTTGTGCTAATCGGTCCGCTTCTAAAGTTTCTTCAAACCCAACGCTGCCCGTTCTCTGTCGTCGTTCCGGATCTTACACCCAGGCGCTACTGGTGGCCGTTACTAAAACATCGTTGTTTTACTTCATTCATGTTGGGAAAAAGGGCGCTACTGGTGTCTTACTTTTCCCTGATTAAGGATTTTCGGCTTCAGGACCCGCCCACTGCCATGGGACCTGTGGGTCTTCAGGATCCCTTCTGCATACTAACGTTTCCGTACTGTTCAGGCACGTGTACTGTGATGTTTCTCGTTTGTGGAAACCAGCTGAATGTTGCCCCAAATGCCATTAAGCTAACGATGTGGATTTCAACGGTGTGGATTTCAAAACAAACATTCCATCGAGTTTATTCACCAAACGTTTCCATATATAGATTTACCGAATATCAACGCTCGCTTCCATTCCCTCCAGTCCGTCAGAGGCCAAAAGCCGTACGAGTGTCAGAAATCCCGTTTACAGGAAGACGAAGAGGTATTCTTGGCGTCTCTTCCACAGCCAAAAACGTTGATTTCTGCTTCAACTGGGGATGTGATCCGCTTCCTGATTTGAAAAGATAAAACAGGTTAAACAAACGTTTTGACTCGGACGGCTGTCCATTTTTGGGTACCTCTATTGGACGTGCAACCTGCAAGTGTCCTACCAGGCTCGCGTCAGGTACGACCGACAACTATATAGCCAAGTTAAAGGCAATATTTACATCGCTGGGCCCTCTTGATGTCCCTTCCGTGGGCTTTGGTAACCCAGCTAGTCACCCAACTGTCTCTAATTATCTGAAGTCTGTCCGCGAAGAACAAGTGACGCCAAAACAACCCGTTCCTTTGTTCTTTGACAAAATTTTTGACATTGTGCAATTCAATCAAGGCGTCTTTATCACAACATGATATTAGCCTTTTGCTGGATCTCTACTCCCGGCGATCGTGTTTCTCACTTAGAACGCTTGAAAACGAATAATGTCATGTGTCTGCCTGGTAACGAGGGTTTCTTAAATCGCCACACCTGCGGTAAGACACTTCGGGGAAAGCACACCCATGTGTTCGCTGTGAAGCCTTCCCCTTCGCCATCCTCCTGTCCCCGATCGCTAACCTTCAGTTATACGTCCTCCTGTGTGACAGAATGCACGTCAACCTACGTCAGAGTTTTCTATTTCGCTCCACGGACCCCAAAGGTTGCGTTACTAACGCTCTTTTCTTGGCTCGGCTGTTACCAATCGTCTAAAGAAGTACCTCTCCAATTTAAACCTCAATGAAGGCGAGACCGCCCACAGCTTCCGGGCAGGTTGTTCTATAACGTTGTCACTACTGGGCGCCTCCGACGAAGCTATAGCTAAACACATTGGTTGGAGGAGTGTCGCTACCGCACAATATTACACCCAAACGGATGCGGTCATGCATCCCACCCAAACCTCTCCTATCTTAACCACCGGCGCTTCTGCTTCGTCCGCCCTCCAAGATTCCCGCATGTGGCAACTTGGAGAAACCTTTCGAAGCAAGCCTTGCCTTGAAAGAAGCCTTGCCATAATGCTAGATAATATAACGCTTGTATAATATATCAAGTTCATATTTTTTCTGAGTATTGGAGAGAGTATTTGCACAGTAAACGCGAAAGGAATTATCACATGTTGTTTCAGAGCCAGCGAAGCTCGGGCGTGAAAATCATTTTGTCCCCATTCTTAGTTTATTTTCAGCTATGGTATTGTGCAGCGGGGCGAACGGTGAGAATATATTCATATTCTCACTGGGCGCTTCGCTAAACAATACCATATTAATGCGTTAAAACTTAATGCAAATATAAGCAGCATCAGAGTAATCGCATGAATAAACACGGTTGGTATAAAAGACCGGGAAAACAGCAAATTTTCACATTTTGCCACGAAGACGACCTGGCTGCATATACAGGAAGGAATTTTCGTCCCACCCACCTCCCCTCGGCTGCGACACCGTCTCCTCGCCCCACTTTACTCTTAGCTGAAAATCATTTTGTCCCCATTCTTAGTTTATTTTCAGCTATGGTATTGTGCAGCGGGGCGAACGGTGAGAATATATTCATATGCTAGCCGTATAAATAGTCTGTGCTAACGTATTTAGTTGCCGGTATAAAATATCGTATCGTTTTGACCCGTCTAAGTTTCATGATTATATTGAACGTGTTTTAAAAAAGGATTCTTTTCACTTATTTGCATTCACATTGTGGCATTCATGGCGTTTTTACGGGTTTAATATTGACGATGTTGACCCTTAGAGCTGGTTGCATTATGTAATTTTGTATATGTCTCACACCCACGACGCCGCTTCGTGATGCAAATGAAATAGCAGCGGAAACCTGCCATTTTTAGTTCAAAACTGAGAGTTGAACCCTTCCTATAGGTGAGGTCGACAATATTAAAGGAAATAACACTATATATTTTTTTTATTTTGAAATAAAGATTACCTATAATACTTTAAACCTGTGCAATAATACCGACAGTCTAAAAGCAACTTTTCCCGCCGAAATTCGCAATTGTTTACCACTATAATATTGTATTTTATCCGCCATTTTGGGATATGCCAACGGGAAGAACGGAAAAAAACAATCCAGAAACCTATAATTTGTAGTCTAAAGAGCAGTTTTAGGAAAAATATATATCTCGTTTCGTTTACGACATCGTAGGACATTTCGTTTCGTTTATGAAATCTTTCTCGTCTGGTTTTAACCATATTTTGGGTTTCCGATGATGTCAATCTTCGGATTATATTTTGTTTTGAAACTGATATCATATTACCACGGCAAACAATTTTAAATATTAGATTTAAGTGGCATGGGCATGGCACAAAACAAGTAAAACAGCAAGTTCGATAAATATAGTGTGTCTCATTCAAAAAAAACACTTCAAAATACTGTAGCCTTGTAGGACTAGCAATATATGTTTGAGGATTGGGGAATGATACTTGTTATTTTACCAAGCTTTACTTGCCATTTTAAAACTCTTGGAATCGTCAAGAACGACAAGAAGATAAGAACAAGACATAGCTTCAAAGTTCAAAATGATAAAAATACTTCGCTAGGATTATTTGATCTGATCAAACAAGAAAAACAAACCCCGACAATTTTCTTAATTGCATGCAATATCATGCACGTTTGAAATAATAAGTTGCCATTTCAAATGCTTAGTATATATCTTTTTTATTTTGTTTGTAATTACTGAGGATTCTACTGTGTTTAAATATCTGTTTTATTGTTTCGTGGTTGGTGATAGTTGCTATCTCGAAAGTAATATTGTATGATTTAAGAAAATACAAGTCCAGATGAAAGTTACAACAGGTTCTGTCACACGGGAGAAACCCAGAAAGGGGACACGTCACAGACACAGACACAGGATGTCTATTTCTTGTTTTTTTCTTCTAAAGACATGACACCGTAAGTTCGTAACGGTTGTCAAACCATCCTCTTTGTTTGCAAGCTCACCGCCCTCCACACAAGAGCATTTATTTCGATGCGTGACCTATTTGTGAACTAGAAAATTCTGCGTGACTCTCCCAATGTAAAGTTTAAGGGTTTGACAGACACCATATTTGACCAGCTGCAAATTAGGCATGCTCTGCATGAATCAGGGAGCATGTTGTAACTTGTAACGATGGGTAACAACTATTGTGTGGTCACGAAAGGTCATGAACCCCCTGGAACTTCCTGCGAAGCATATAGACGCAGTGTAGACAAAGGGATTTGATATTGTGCCATAACAGAGCACATGCTCTCAATTTCAATTTGCTACTTGACTGTGTGGATCATGAATTGTGTTCATATATGTTCGGTCTAATTTACAATCAAATGACGGCTGTTTTAAATTTGAACTCACAACGTCCCAGTTTATACTGTTTATAGAAATGACAAAATACACAATGGCAAATTCAAATTGACAGCTCAATGGCAGTGCGACTGTATTTACTTATTTAAATAAAATAAATAACAATTAAGAAAATAGTCGCATAGCAAAATTATACATCTTAAACTAGTTTTGATGATTATCATATAGAGTTCACAGTATTCAACCGGTCACACAAAATGTTTGCCTGAAATATTTTCAATATTTTACTGGGAATTCATGGCGGGAATTCTTTATTGTTCGAAGACTATGCAAGAACTCAAAAACCCTGCAATTTTCTGCTGTTTAAATCGCTCTAACTTTGACATGCAACCGTTCGGTAGAAATAATTATATTTGCATTTTGTATTTGTGATTTCCGCTAGGATCGCCTTGTTATGGAATCTACAAATTGCTATCTAAACAAGATTTTAACACCTTTTATGTAATGAAGTTAAAATCATGAAATAGCTACAAAAACGGGAAGCCTAGTTGTTAGTTTGCTGTAGGAATCTAAAGCCAGTCTACAGGTAGAGACTACCTAGGTAGAGACTACATATACTAGGGTAGAGACTACATATATATTAAGCCGAAACTATCAATCTTCGTATTTAAAATCTCTCCGCTCTTTCACGCTTAAATAAATAAATTGATTGCTATACATTTCTAGGCTAATAAGTAATAAGTACTTACCCATAACGATCAAAAACGCGAGCTTAATTCCTTTGCAAAACATTTTGAACACAGTGCTGATTGTGTGCTTGTTTGATCTGTCTTGACGGTGGATTATGAGTTGTTGACATGGGATTATGCGGTTTTCTCAACGCCCAGATGTCACTACGTATATAGTGCGGGGAATAGGTTTCAAATTACAGCGCGCGTCTTGTAAACTGATTTGCATATTCTGCAATACGATAATGCATGCGCTTGCAAAGTTACAACACTGATGTTTTTCGTTGGAATACGGTTGCATTTTGACGATTTATATTTGACAGTAAATTATGGTACTCTGCCGTGACATTGCCGTTAATTTAGCAATATTCGTTTGCTAATTTCCCAAGCAAGTTCTCCTGAAACCTGCAAGTTACAAGTTGTTACGGGAACCACCAAGTATTTTTATGAAATTCATAAGAACAGTAACTCCGAAAATTTTTTTCTAGCTTTAGTGAATCTACGTTTGACGTTTGGACTATATTTCAGTCATCATCAGGACATATGTTCATCAGGTGTTTCGTCGGAACCAAGACGACCGGTTAGCAAGTAATCTCAGACATTAAACCAAAGAAGTCTCGCAAATCGCATTATAAATTATATAATAACAATTCGATCTAAATAGAGCAAATTAATACAAAGAAATATTAAAGTAAACATGCATATAAGCCTATAAATGTTCGCACGTGTGGCGTATAAATTACCCATACAATGCATAAATTCTGCGTAAACAAACTAGAATATAAAGTCAATGTCTTACTTCTGTGGCGAGATCCTTTAGCTGTCTATTTCATCGTTTATCGTTCAGGTTAGCCCGTCTTTCTTTCATTTACTTATTTAACAAAACATGCGTTATATTTACACCTTTTCCGTCTCGCTGTGCGTCTATATGCTAATGCTATGATTGCTATTTGATACCTAATATTGTCATCATAGTTTCAAAGTTCAATTATAATGAGTTCCATTCGTGTCTACGCACGTGTATATAAACTGTCAATCCACTCTCCCCCCCGATGAGGACTCTTCCTCATCACTTAATGTTACTAATTGTGAGTTACTTATCTTCATATCCTTCTGCAGGGTACAGTACTGCGACTTTTGTAATAGGTCTTTCGTAGTGCGATGTGGATGTCTTCACCTTAACGTTACGAATTCGTCCGTCATTTCCAGGATATACATTAACAATTCTGCCCGTAGTCCAGTTTCCACGAATCGCATTCGTATCTTGAACCACGACGATGTCATCCACTCGTACATTTCTTTTTTCAGTAGTCCATTTCTTTCTGGGAACTAAGGTGGGAAATACATCTCTGCTCCAACGCTTCCAAAAACTATCGATGATCTTCTGGACAAATTCAACACGATGTTGAGGATTCTTCGTTTCTCTGAATGGCCCTTGTGGTACCATTGTTGATGCTCGACCAAGTAAAATGTCGTTTGGACAAAGGAAAGAACCGTCATCTGGATCATTGGGGATCCTTCCAATAGGACGCTGATTAATCAGGTTACTAACTTCCAGCAAGCATGTGTACAGCTCGAACGGAGCCAAAATTTGTTCACCAATCGCGATCTTTAATGCTTTCTTCGAACTCTTGACAAGAGCCTCAGCACAACCGTTATGATGTGGTGCTGCAGGAGTAATAAATCTCCACTCCATTCCTTTCTCGGCGCTGAATTCCTTCAACTCTTTCTCGTTCCATCCTTCTATCATTTCTCGGAGTTCACGTTGAGCTCCCACCAGCTGCGTCCCGTTGTCACTGATCATCAGAGCCGGTTGTCCACGGATTGCGAAAAATCGACGTAAGGTTTGCAAGAATTCCATAGCGGAATAGTCCACTGCGATTTCCAGGTGTACGGCACGAGTATTCAGACATGTAAACAGTACGCCATAGTGTTTGGTTGTTTTGTTTCGGCCAATTTTAACTTGGTAAGGACCGAAGTAATCGCATGCCGTGCGATGAAAGGGTGGTGTGAATGGCTCCAGTCGGGTAATTGGTAGGTCTGACATGAACTGCTCCTCGGTTTTGGCTTGGATTCGGCGACAACATACGCATCGGAACTTTATTGACTTGGCAAGATCATGACATCGGATAATCCAAAACTTTTTCTTGATCTTTGCAACGGTTGTTGCAACTCCTGAGTGGCCGTTTCGATGGAAGTTACGAGTGATCAGCAGGGATATCCAGTGTTCACGTGGGAGTAAAACTGGATGTTTGGCATCGTACGAGATTACGGCTTCGCTTACTCGACCTCCGACTCTGATAACTCCGTTGTCATCGGTAAACGGGGTGAGTCCTTTCAGTTCTCCCTTTTTCAGGCGATCATGAAGTGACTTCTGACTTTGTTTGACCCAATACAACTCGGCATCTTCTAACTCCTTTGCTGAGATTGATCTATCATCTGAGGTGTCTTTCGGTCGGGTCGTTTCTGTGTTGTCTTTGTTTTGATGCTTGTTTCGTAGCGTGTTGATGAACCGTAACACATAGGCTGTGACTCGGATAAGTTTCCCCCAACTGGAAAACTTCTTGCACGGAATGACTTCTGGCGATTGGGTTACTTGAAAGACAGGTTGAACTTTTCGACGTTCAGACTGATCGATATCCACGCTTTTAGTGATGGTAGCAGAAGACGACTCGCTCGGCCATTCTTCCTCCGGTAACTTCAGAAACTCGGGGCCATACTTCCATCTGCCTGTCAGTTGCAGAGCAGGTATTCCTCGCGACACATCATCAGCGACATTTAGCTCTCCAGGAACGTGTCTCCACTGATCTGGTTCAGACTTGCTCTGGATTTCGGCAATTCGGGCTGAAACGAACGGCTTAAACTCTCTGGGTTGGTTACGGATCCATGAAAGAACAATGTGGCTGTCAGAGAAGAAAATTATCTTCACAAACTTCATTCGAGACTCTTCGAGAATAGAACAACATAATCGTGTCGCCAGGACAGCTGCTTGTAGCTCTAAACGAGGTATGGTCAGCGACTTCAGTGGGGCTACTCTTGACTTTGCTGCGATGAACCTGGTTACAAAGGTGTTGTTTTCTGTCTCCCATCTGATGTAAGCACATGCTCCGAAGGCTTCAATCGATGCGTCCGAGAAAATGCATAGTACTGGCGCTCCGATCACGGAATCTGGCGTAAGAGACCTTTCGAAGGTGACGTTGTTCAGGTCGTTCATCTCTTGGAAGAATCGTATCCACGTTATTTGGAGATTCGGCGGCAATTCATCATCCCATTGTAGTCCTTCTAACCACAGTTTTTGCATCTCTATTTTGGCGCGAATCAGGAAAGCTGCAGCTACTCCTAGAGGATCGTAGATCCGAGCTACTTGGCTTAGTATTGCTCTCTTCGTAAGTTTAACTAGTTCAGGAGGAATCACTTTGAACCCAAAAACGTCGTCGTGGTGGTTCCAGACAGTTCCCAAAACTTTCTCTTCAACTGGGCCTTGTAGGAGCTTTAATTCCAATTCACTTTTTTCAATAACGCTTTCATCATTCTTCTTTAATGACCGGTTTGAGAGCCAACACTTCACGTTAAAACCACCGTTGCGAAGGATTTCGTCAATCTCTGCTGTTATTTTTCTTGCTTGATTTTCAGAATGGACCGAATCGCATATGTCGTCCATGTAAGTATTCTTCTTTAAGACTTCAGCAGCTGCAGGGTAGCGTTTTTCTCCTTCTTCAGCAGTCTTTTGCAGCGCGGTCTGTGCCATGGCTGGGGCTGGTTTGTCACCAAATGTCAAGACTGTTTTGACATAAACATCAGGTTCTCGATCCGTATCCATGTTTCTCCACAGGTATCGGTGAACATGTTGATCTCTTTCCGGGATTAGGATTCTGTGATACATCTTGGATATATCCGCGTTGATAGCCACTTCATTTTCTCGAAATCGTAGGAGAACTCCAAACAGATTATTTAGTAAATCGGGTCCTTTCATCCAGTAATCATTTAAGCGGTGCCCTTTATACGATGCTGAGGAATTGAAAACAATTCGGATGGGGGTGCTCTTCTTCTCGGGTCTGACTACCTCATGGTGGGATATGTAGTGGGTTGGTCCCTTGTATGACTTTAATTCTTCACTTGATAATTTTCGAGAGAAGTTCATTTCACTCATTTCCCTCATCTGCTTGTCATACGCTTCTGCATGATCTGGGTTCTTGGCTAATCGACGCTCGGTTGTTTCCAATTTCTTCTCCGCTTGGCTTCTGTTATCCGGTAATTCAGATGCATCTTTGACCCAGGGGTATGAAACTAACCATTTATTACCAATCTTTTTGCAGGATTGTTCTATAATCTTGGCTTCGTAGGCTTCAACTGGACTTAACTTCTTGCTTTCACAAGAACACATATTCCCTTCCACGCCCATTGATTCGGTGGTCCAAAAGTCGGTCATATCGATGGGATTTGAACACTTGACATGGTAGACTTGACTGACGTCACACTTTTCAGACGTGGCTCCAAAGACAACCCATCCCAATGGCGAATATCTTGCAACAAGATTACCAGCTTCTTTTGTCTCACCAGTGTGCAACTTCGGTTGATCAATTCCCAACAGGACATCTATTGGACCATTCTCTCTTCGTAATTTCTCTCTTTCAAGGTTGAAAGCTTCAGCTATGCCATCAAGTTTCATTCCGGAAATATCACCACTGATACTTGGGATTCCCACAGCTGCAATTGTGTGGATGGACTGGTTCTCGAGGGATCGAATTTGGAATCGATACATCTTTGTTGACATCTCATTTTCTTCTCCTCCAACTTTCGCCATTGTTACTGTGACACTCTTGCCTTTGAGACCCAGCTCCTCAGCGACTGATGTCCGTATTAAACTGATTTGAGCACCAGTGTCTAGTAACATATTAGCCTGTTTCTTGACCTTCTGTGGTCCCAGGATTTCTGCCTGAATAGTCGGTAACATAGTCTCTCCGCTAGTAGTAACAGATGACACAGCAGATATGTTTAAAATATGCAATAGTGGATGATGGTAATGCTTGCACTGAACTCCGCTGATGGTCTCGCTGCACTGGCGCCTTCGAGAGCAGGTTGACATGTTGTGACCACGACCAGCTCGCTTCAGGCAGCTATAACAGGCATGGTTCTCCTTCACAACTTTCAGGCGGTCGCTAGCACTCTGGGCAAGGAACTTTTGGCATTGGTCGGTCCAATGTTCAGACGTTTTGCAGAACCAGCACTTATGGTTTGTTGGCTTCCCATCTTCTTTTCCAGTAACATGTCCAACATGCTTGGGTGACTGCCATGAGCTTCTTAATGGTGCCGTTGCTCTCATTCTCGACTTCATCTCACTTGTCATCCAGGAAATTAACGACTCCAATGTGGCTTGACTCTTTGAACTCTCCAAATAGCGTGACCAGACTTTGCGATCGTCGGTAAACATTTTCTGTTCAATGATAGCCAGCATGTGGTTGTTATCCATGTCATTCTCCCGTCCTACTTCTCTAAGGGTGTTGAAACTCCGCTTTATTAAATGGACCAAGTCGCAAAACCGGGCATCTTCTCCGTCCTTTATTGGCTTAAACTTGGAGATATCGTGTGTGATGATGTCAGCAACAAATCGTGGATCTCCATACACGGAATCGAGATATTCCCATGCGGCATCATAGTCTTGACCAATTCCCTTGATCATTTCCAGCGGTTTTCCTTGGAGACTAGACCTCAGAATGGTTATTGCATCACGTTTACTGTATCTATTTTCCACCAAGTGCTTAAAGTCCGCTCTAAAAGTTCCAAATTCTCTGACGTCACCAGTGAATTTTGGCATCTTTGGCTTCTCAATTCGAAATAGGCTTTCTCCTTTGCTTATATGAGTTGCTGTCTCCGCGGTGTTCTCAGTTGTGTTGAACGATGAATCATTAATAGATGTGCTGGGTTGTACAGGATGACTTTGGGTTTCTTGAGCTACTGGTGCTGATATCTGGTTGTCTTGATTTTCTTCATTCGGTATCGATGCATGACTTTCTTCGCCGGCCGGGATTTCGTTAATTTGTTCTTCATTCGACAAGTTCTCTGCGGGAGTATTTACGCTTCCGGTTTCGACAGTATTTTGTTTCATCTCTGATATTTTCGTCTGTTGCTTTATATAATCTTGCGCGTCAATTTTTAAGCGCAGAAAGGTTTCCTGGCATTGTTCAATATATCGTTCTTCCTCATTGAACTGTTCGTCATCTTCGATTAGCATTGTCACTTCTTCGTGTTTGGCTTCCAGGTCGGCAAATGCGTGTTCATAATTATCAAGCGCCCTTTGAACCTCATCGGTCGAACGTTTCCCCTCGATTTGGACTATTATAACTTTCCCGAGCCGTGTTAATGCTGCTTTGCCGTTTCGTCGTTTCATCTTAGCTTTCTTAAAATCGTCGCAATTGCCGTCTTTCGATGTCATATTTTCCATTGTCGTTTTACAGTATAATTCGTCTCAAATTCCTTCGAACCGTGGTTAGCAAGAAATCGAATAGTGTTTCGTCGGAACCAAGACGACCGGTTAGCAAGTAATCTCAGACATTAAACCAAAGAAGTCTCGCAAATCGCATTATAAATTATATAATAACAATTCGATCTAAATAGAGCAAATTAATACAAAGAAATATTAAAGTAAACATGCATATAAGCCTATAAATGTTCGCACGTGTGGCGTATAAATTACCCATACAATGCATAAATTCTGCGTAAACAAACTAGAATATAAAGTCAATGTCTTACTTCTGTGGCGAGATCCTTTAGCTGTCTATTTCATCGTTTATCGTTCAGGTTAGCCCGTCTTTCTTTCATTTACTTATTTAACAAAACATGCGTTATATTTACACCTTTTCCGTCTCGCTGTGCGTCTATATGCTAATGCTATGATTGCTATTTGATACCTAATATTGTCATCATAGTTTCAAAGTTCAATTATAATGAGTTCCATTCGTGTCTACGCACGTGTATATAAACTGTCAATCCAATGAGTTCCATTCGTGTCTACGCACGTGTATATAAACTGTCAATCCATCAGGTATTGTATACATCTGTCCTTATGATGACTAAATAAAGTCTAAACGTGAACTTGTTAATAATTTACAAGTTGTAATTCGTTGATTTAAATATTTTCGAGGCATATTTTCCATCATGAATGATTCATATATGGTCAATATATACCCAATATATTTGCGGTTCTTTTGTTTGTCCGATTATGAAATTGTCAACTTGCAACTTGCACGTTCTTGTTGAACTGGTTGTGGCAGTAGACCTTTCTCATAATGACGCAGAAAGTCTGATGTAACGCGAAGTTTGATTGGCTCCTCAAAACAAACGAGCGAATCAAACTTCGTGTAACATCAAACTTACCGCGCTCACGTCATCATGACAATGTCTTTTTTATATAGAAAGAATATCGCCATATTTATATTTCATTGTGGGGAATGGAGACCTAATTCAACTGTAAATGTGGAATGAAACAGCATACAAATCCTTTTCCCATGATGGAGAATAGGTATCAGCACTGAACCCTCTTGGTCCTAAGTAGCAAGGAGAGCCCCCCATTCCTGATCAAGTTACAAACACATATATTCAATGCTTTTTTTCTAGCTTATTTCACAACTACAAACTAACAAATACATTTGAAAAATTTTCACTGAAAGAACAATATTCAGCTTAGGTTTCAAGGTTTTTCTTCATCAGAATCCTCAGTAGTTGAATACATGTTCTGATTTCTTCTCACAAGCTTAAACATCTTTTGTGGAGGTTCAGAGTCTGATCTTCTCCCCTCAATCTTTGCCACCTCTTCCTCTTTCCCATTAGTTTCGGGCTCCTTGGCAAGCGATGAACAAGGATCAAGTTTTGGTGGCAATGGTACTGGAAAATCACTAAACTGGGACTCGGTTTCCTTACAGTCATCTGCGAAACCAATTTCATCTGGATTGCTCGAGGGTAGTGCAACTTGCGCAGGTGTGTGCAATGGTGCTGGTAGGCAAACTGCAAGGTTATCACTTGGCTTGTCTTCATCACTTACAATTATTATGATCTCATCTGGATTTTCAGATGAAACCTTTCCTCTCCCACTTTCTGTGTGGGGCAGCGATGCTTGAATGCTACTGGGGTAATTGCTGGCCTCTAGATCATCACCCTCTCCCTCATCACTTAAACTAATTTCATCGGGATTTTTATCCCCAGAAACATCTGTAGCCCAAAATGGATTCCTGATTCTCAACCTCTGGCAAAAAGTATCAGTTTGTGGATTTTTCCCTGCTGTCACTTGAACATGCTTCTGGTGTCTATCAGGGTTGTACAAAGGGACATTTTGGGTGAAATTTTCTGGGATTCTCAAGTCCCCTTCAAACAACTCTTGTACTGCCTTAATTGCCTCAACATTTGGCTTGAGGGACGTCACAATGGACTCTCTAAAAGGCAGTTTTGTGTTCCCTGGTTCAGTGTTGAATAAAGGAAGCGTTGATTTAGTTATTGCTAACCATTCTGGGTCATAGGACAACTCCATTGGTCCCTTAGGTGGGCCCACATCGATAACCTCTAGGTATTTGCGCCGAGGCAAGCATTTGTCTAATGCTAAAAAGTTTGTTACTTTCCCAGTCTGACTATGGGTAACTTGGGCGGGAAATCGGCAATGCAGGTGTGCAGAAAACCAAAAATCTGGTTGCAGGGACTTTAACACCTCCTGGGCTGCATAACTGCCCAGGGTGTCATTCTCAATTTCCGGACGTAGAAATCCTTTCCAGCGGTATAGCTCATTAAGGTTGCCATAGTGATAAACACCTTTTGGCCAATCATGTGACATTGCGATATCCACAGGTCTCGTCAATAGCTTCAGCTTAAAAACGTCCAGGCTTCGGACATGATAAATGCTACGAACAGTTCCCTGGTCAAATGGCGGGGCTTCATAATGACCTTTGTTGTAATCATGCGACTTAAATATCCCAGATAACCCAGCAATCCTGAAGCCACCAAAATTGACAACCCCAGAGTAACCAAGGTAGTATATGTTGGGTGCAACCCAGCCGCCAAAGGGTAATTCCCACAAATGGTTCGAGGCTTCGTGGTTACCGCCAATAAAAATTGTTAAAATTGGCGCCTTTTTCTCGCCGCTATAATACTTATAGAAGCTGCACATTTCCCTGTACTTCAGAGGTACCGCCATGCAGGCCAAATCGACCTCATTCCGAACAGCCTGGAAATCACCACAGCAAAGCAACAAATCTATCTTAATGTTGTCTCTACGTTGAATGTTTTCTAGAGCAGAATAAATTGTCTCCAATTCGCCATGGGCACAGCCTTCCACCGCGATTTTCATGTTGAAATTTCTCGCAGTAAAACAGGGAAAAAACTCAATCTTTGTTTCAAATTTTTCAGCTCATCCGATTCGCAAATTCGATGTTGCTCTCCAAACGCAAAAAATCTCGCATCAGAATTGACGGATTACCGTCATTTTCGAGCCGATGGACATCAACATATATAGAATATAGAATATAGACCAATTGCATGTTAGACTAATTCATATCTTCGCAAAAAAGTATATTTTTGGAAGATGTATACTAAGATTAGTGGAATTGTAAAGTCTGGAAGGAAAATGCTGTTAAATATGAGAAGTACATTTTGCACCATGTAGTAACATTTCAAACACGAAGCGTAAAGACATGTACGATTACGATTACATTAAGTATCTCAAAATACCGCTAACAATTGTAATGTTATGCTTGTGGGCTCGTTTCTTCCTCATGCGTTTAGAATTAAATTAGAAAATAGAGAAAATAGAAATATGTCCAAAGGTGATAAAGTGCCGGAGGAAATCAAGAGTTTTCTGCGCTCCGTTTTGATATCTAGCAATGGCGTTAAGCAAAGCCGAGTGCAGAAGGACTACCACGAACTGGCTGGCGAGAGATTGATGTGGAAAAACTATGGATTCTCGTCGCTAAACGAGTTTCTAAAAGCACTACCTGATGTATGTATGTTGCAGTACAGTCCAAAGGATAAGGAGAATCGCGTTTACGCCGTCCAAAAGGAAGGCACATACATGTCTTCGCATGCGAAAAAGAATGCAAAGGTGGCAAGCTCGTCGATATCGCCCATCAAAGAAACGAACTTGGCCGAAAACGGTCGAATTGTTCAAAACGACGGTGAGAAGATAAGAGTGACAGTAGCAAATACACCTTTAAACACATCTTCAGAGAGCGAAAGTAGCGATCTGCTGCCGAATAGCGACGGACTCTACCAGGTGTATGTCGTGAAGTTGCCTGAAAAGTGTACTGAGGTATAGTTTTTGATAAGAATGCTCCGTTTTTGGGTACAGTTTAGAAAACCAGGACATGCAATAGGGTATTATGTTGAAGATCTGTTGGAAGATCAATTTGTGTGTCTGGAACTGCCTTGGTCGTTGAAAATAGTGTTTACTCTTGTTCTAACATACTCCGTTTTATGAATGAAGTAACATAAAAAAGGCAGTTCTATATAGCATTTATTACTGTTAGGAGTTGGATTGGCCAGATATTCTTATGGAATTTGACAGCTTTGAAATCCTGAGTGACAGGAGCAGGTGGAATTTGCCCAGAGGCATTAGATCCATTTTTATGTCATGTCATGGTGACCTGCTATGCACCAGCAGGAAAATGTCAATGCCTCTGTGTATCGATTGTAACCCTCTCAGGGATATGGTGTAACATTGATTCCTGAATTACCGTAAGCGATCCAATAAACGTGCAGGGCATTTAATACATAGTAGCAGTTCTAAAGGAGGGGTTTAATAGATACAAGGTGTTTATTAGAGAGAGGGGTTTATATTATTACTCTCACCTTACTATGACCACTCTTCAATGTTTTAGACTGAACTGAGAAATTGCTTTCAAATTTATGGTAAAGTTGTGGAATGTCAGGTAGTAAGAAGCTCAATTGGAAAAAAGTAAGTCAAAATATTTATTGATTTTACTGTTCTATAGATGTATAGAATTGCACCATGAACTAGGTTAAACCAGGTTTTTGACATCATAGAGATAACCTTTTCATATTTTGCAATTCTATGTTCATTTTCAAGCCTTGCATCATTGATATGATTCCAAGAATAGTTGGAGCTGGCATATCCAACATTTATAGACTATCTCTGTCACAATGCCATGGTCAAATTCATTTGTACGAAAAAAACTGATTTGTGTTCATCCAAACTGTGCCAAATATTTCTGTGTGTTATTTACGATGTATTGTTTACATCATTTAAAGGGCAATAACTAGACCACTTAATTAAGTGATTCATATTCATATATTCATGTTTTCATACCATCGCAAGAATAGCTTTGCAAAGAAATCAGTTGGGCATGAGATGAATATAGATCAATAGACATTTCCCTTCTGGCTTTCAAGCATGCAATGTGTGACGGTAGTTGATTATCAAGCAACTTTGAGTTGCGATATTGCATGTACTATCAGTGCAGCCGATTTGGCGCATGCTCATGCAGTAACTCGAAACTGGTTGCTAAGCTAGCCATCGCTGCTAATTTTTTGAACATGTGACAGCAAAACTGTAGACTACTTTCAAGGCAGCGGTCAAGGCGCAAACAGTATGTGTGATTTTGGGGCATAGGTTGTGCAAGCAGAGGCCGGCCTTTACTTTCTAAAAACGTTAGTATCCTTGAATTTGAAGTGTGTATAATTCCACTCTAACTTAAGACCCTTTAAACCCTAGAATTTATGTGCATCGAGTGAAGTGCCAAAAATCACAATTCATTCATAATAGTTTGATTAAGTTTTCTCAAGCTTTGTGGTCTCCTAAGCCCTATAGCTATATTTTTAATTATTATAAAAAATAAATATCATATTTTTTTAATACCATCAAACCTAAAAAAAGAAATGCTTACATTAAGGATTGGCTTTATACGCTACTCATTAAAAAATGAGGCACAACTAGCATTGACAGAGGGCAGGAGGAACCCTCCTAAGATCTTTGGAGTCACACTTGAGGTTGGAAAAACCAAGAAAAAGTCCAATGACAATATTGAAACATCTGTGAATGCTGCATTGAATTCAGAGCCAAGTGAGGGAAGCATATCATCATTTTCATCATCTACTCCTTCTTCGCCAATAAAAAGCAATGCCCCACCAACTGCTCTACAAGATCAACAACAGGCCAAAAACAATCTGCCAACAGCGCCGCATTTTCCAACATACCGCCCAATGAACACACAATCAAATTCTCCTCAAACAACTGGAAACAGCCAGCCATATTTAGCCGAAAATCCACCTCACAATACACAGACACCCCTTTCTGTACAATTACCCCCAACACAACTTGCAAACATGGGCAATAATGGACCATGGATACTAGACCCTAATTCAACAACAAAGACATTGCTCTCATTACAACCGGTCTCTGAAACAAGGACATCAAGTAAAGAGCCAACCAACACTGTTTCAAAACCACTCGAAAAAGTAGACAATAGACTGAATTACAGCCTAGTAATTTCTGGTTATGATAGAAAAATGACTGAGGTATGTATGTCAACACACTTAATTCCAGTGATGTCACTATTAAGAAAAAATCAACTAGTCAGAAAAATCAACATATATTTCTAGTCATTTCTACAGGGCAGTAGTATTTTTACAGGTCTGACAGTTTTTTTCATTATATTCTTTCATTAACCTAATATACTAGCAATGCACCCAGATGTGCCTTACTTTAGTATTTTACTCTGTCTAATGCCAGATGATTTTACTTGCTATCAGTGGAAGAGTACTGTCAGTTAATAAGTTAACATAACTATCTGTCAGTGTCTTTTGTTAATCCATTAGCTTGCACTGCACCCAGATGTGGCCTACTTTAGTATTTTACTCTGTTTAATGCCTAATAATTTTATCCATTGATCAGTGGCAGAACACTGTGGGTACGTTAATGAGTTAATTAAGGAGGCACTCAATTTACTGTCTTTTTAGTATTTAACTCTCGAATTTCGACTGTTTTTTAGGCCAATATAAAGCAGGTGTTTCAGAATGTTCATGATTTGCAATGCATTGAATATCAACCACAGTAAGTTTGATAGTGAACCAAACAAAGTATGATGTGTTTGAATAAAGTTATAATTCAGTTCAATCACTTTTTTAGTTATAGTATAGCCCGGTTTAAAACTAAAGATGCATCTTTACATGCAGTTAATGAGTTAAATGGAAAATATTGCAATGGCTGTGTATTGTTGGTGAAACCTTTAACAAAACATCCATCAGATATGGATGAAGCGGAGCCTGTTAGGATAGTCAATGAAGAAAAATTACCTGGTGAGCATTAGGGTGGTACATATATAACATCCATCTGAGAAGTCGCACTTCCACATATTTTTAAAAAGACTATCACCGCTAACAATATTTTTGCCTTGTAGAGTTTCAGGATGAATTTACCAAGATCTACGACTTCTTCAGCGAAGCAATATCAGGTTGCTGTAGGCAAGACTATCTGCACTGGCTGAACAATCTACCATCAATATTTGAAGTGAAAATAATGGATCTCATTGATCCTTGTACTTTCTGGGTTCACCTTTCGGACGGGGTGAGGCTTTTTACATCAATCAAATTATTTGCCATCCCTTTCACTTGTATTTTCTGCCCTAATTAACAATGGTTCTACTGTTTTAGACAAACGCATACCGTGATTTCAATGAATTAACACATCAGCTTTCGTTGATCAAACCATCTTCTGGTTTAAGTTGTTTAAAGAATAATGAATTCGGTGCAGGACAGTTTTCTGATGATGGACTATGGTACAGGTAAGTCTTTACTCATATTTGAATAAAAGGAATAGTCACTGACCAAATAAATAGATTAACTCATTAACTGGCAGTCCTCTTCCACTGGTGATAAAATCATCAGATATTACACAGAGTGAAATACTAAAGTACGACACATCTTGCTCAGCCTTGGTGCATTGCAAGAAAATGGGTTGATGTTAATACCTTGGCCTTAGAAAATGTTTGTAGTAGTGTGAATAATAGTTGCTGTATTCAAATTCTTATGAAATAAATTCTGTATTTAATAAGTTGCTGTTTTCAAATTTTCATGAAATAAATTCCATATTCAATGAGATGCTGTATTCAAATTCTCATGTAGCTTATAAGATGCAATTTTTGCTTTCAATGTTTTGAGCGACCTCGCTGAGATTTAATTTATATGAAATTGAAGTCTTTAGTAACCTTATTCACGAGCAAACCAAATGAGACTAAAAATGACATATTTTTTGGCAGATGCTATTGTCGTGAGGCTTCAACAGATGGGCGCCTGCTTCATGTGATCTATATTGATTATGGTAACACTGAATGGTTAGAAAGACAAAGAACCGTGAAGTTGAATGACTCTTACTTTAAACTTCGACCTCAGGGCATCCTTGTTAAACTTTCAGGTAAGAATTGCTAAGAACCTGTGGTACTATTAGAAAATGCAAGAGTGCAGCATTATGGATCCCTGACTCACATGAGAAACATTTTACAAACCTCAAATATATGCATCTGAAACTATAATATGTTCACTTATATAATCTGAAAACAACATTAGAATTAAGAGATTTCTTGTGGTATACTGGATAACTGGAAAGAAAATTACAGTTAACTGAAGCTATATAGCTACATGTGTATATCTGTTTCAGACTTTTAGTGAGGTAATAATGTTGGGCTGTTTACAGCGATAATAAAAGCTGCACTGCATTAAATTTTGGAAACACCTATCGCGTGGTTATTTTGCAACTAGCAAGTATTATGTCGACTTAAGTAAGCTTTTTTTTGTAGTGACATGAATTACATTTCTTTTTTAGGATTTAGATTTAAGTCAAGCAACAACAGCGAACTTGACAGCAAATTGTTATCAACAGCAAAAAATCTCCTGATGTTTAAATGTTTTCAAGCGAGAAGAGGTTCTGTGGATTCTTCGAAGGTATCTAAAGAATAAATGTGTATTAACATTGAACATTGTACTGACAACAGACTATGTAAGAATATATATTTTTTGGGCTAAACAAAGTACAGTATAAGATGAGTAATCAAGGAATTATGTTTGAAATATGTTTGGAATATACTAACGGTAGATAGCCAATGGTTCTTTAACAAGAATTTATATACAATTTTTAGGCCTAATCATTTATCAGTTTGAGTCTTGGAATTGCAACTTAACTATTACGTGAAAAAAAATTTCCCGCCATTTTTCTTGTTTTTAACGAATTTCTTACAAGAATAAGAATAAGAACAAGTCATTTTCAACGATGAGAACCAGTCCGGATGTAAATTTCCTTTATTTCTCTTTTCATATCGTTGATTATTGTCTGCACAAAATGAAGAAATGTTCTATAACATTTACACCATATATTTCGACCTCTGAATTCATTAAGAAGTGGAAATGAGGGAAATGTAGAATAGAATTGAGTTACTGGGATTAGATTTAATTAAGTCATCATCTTTTTCAAGCCGTTTCTGTTGGAAATCGAGCTTTTGCAGTCCAAAGGAGAATCGGTCCTTTCTGAGCTGGAGTCGTTATCTGGAGTGGAAACCCGGCAAAAGGAATCATCTCCACCCCCTCCGCTTCTGTTATCTGGCCAACCCCCCGTGCCAACAATTGTTAAACCGCCAAAGGACACTTTCTCTTCTGTTGACAGAGAAATTCATTACGTCTGGATAACTAATGTAAGTGTCATATTATATGCATGAGGCCTGTTATGATGATGATAGTTAGTGATATGGTGCAGTTTGTAATCGATCTGATCATATGTAATAGACTAGTACTAGAAGAAGTTTATTTTGCTTTATTCAGTCGCAAACTAAGTGTTACACTACGTGATTTAAGACCTGCGACGCCCACTTCGTATAGTCCTGGTTCTGTCTATAACAAAGCAAATCATAGAGTCCTTCTTAATGGCTCTGCGCATGCGTTTCATGCCTTAACCATTGCTGTTAATAACTCGATTTAATACAACTCTCTCCAACAAAAAGCGATGTCTTCAACTTCATTACTGTATTCATTCGCTTGCCAGAGAAGCATTTACTGTCGTTAGTTCAAATTTTAAATTGAACAATAAGCTATTTCAATTTGCAGATAAAATCTCCCACAACATTCAACTTTCAACTGGTGAACAGTTCTTCCAGAGAGGCTATAAAAAGAATACAAGAAATGCTTCTGAAATGCAATATTCAGAATAAGGTGAGTAGTAAGACCTTTTGCAGTTGGAAATTTGGCAAATATTTGAACGAAACAAACTCCAAAAATCGCCATTTCGCAAACGCAAGATTTAAGATTAATCACGAAAACAAGAATCTGGTATTTCTAAAGGCCCATTTACACTATGCGATTTAAGATTCGTACCCTGGCGTATGTGAACGTATGAACACACGTTCAAACGTGACATATCAAATTTCAACCTGAACAAAATTGAATGAAGATTATGCATATGCACTCTTTTGCATCCGTCAGAATGATAATTGCATCATACAACTTATGGTGTAGTCGAAATAGGCCCGAAGAAATAAGAGATATAATTTAGTAACGTATTAAATTGCTGCACATTTATTATACCATTCACCAAAAGGCACTGAAGTAAATGCATTCGTTCCAGGTTAATGTTAAAGATCCAAAAATAAGTAACCTCGTTTGCTATCATAAAAATGGACTAGAAAGGTCTCGTGTCACCTTCATAAGCTCCACTGGTACTCCTGGAAAGGTTAGTTGTATTTCTTTATAGTTGTTAATTGTTTGTGGTTTACACCATGTAATTTATTAGATTTCTAAGCTTAACACCATGCAAAACTTCAAAGAACATATTTGTATTTCTTTGTTGTATAAAACCTGATTTACCAACGTTCGTTACAACTTTTCTGGCTATAACTAGTTGTATATTGTAAAGAAATTGTTGGCAATAATATTTTCGGGGTGCATCGCCTAAACCTGTTTTTATTAACGGGGAAAAAACTGGTGCGTCTTGCTTTTAAAAGGAGTTGTCATCTTGTGTGTAGGTGACAGTACTTCATGTGGATACGGGTAAAGTGGCTGTAGTTCCTTTGATGTCATTCATTGCGTTACCACAAGAAGCGAAGGATATTCCATATCAGGGCAGGCCAGCAATTTTATACCGTGTTCCACAGGATCCTCTGGCAAAGTCTGCTAAAGCTTTGGAATTTATCATTCAACAAGCAACCGAGGTTTGTTGAGTTTAAAAGCACTTTTACAAGCGTCAACCGTCTTAGAATTAGATTATAAAACAAGCCATGAGAAGATTGTTTGGATTCAAAAACATCGGCTATTGTAATAGACGCAAATTAGGGAGGATTGCCTCACCTTTGCGTATCGTTTCAACCATGTTTTGAATCCTCTGGGAACGAAGACCAATTGTAAAATAACATGTATATAACGTGTGTTCTGATTGGTCGAAGCCCGTTTTTGAATCAGCCAATCCAAACACAGAAATTTGATTTGCATTTTCATATAAAACGTGGAACACTACCTTGTTGATGTTATTTTATAAAACAATTACTTAATGGCTTCGGCTCGTGTTTCGCGCGCTTTTCTTAACTCTCGCAACATTCCCGCGTGTTTGGACCAGGCCATCCCAACGCAGAAACCATCAAGTGATTTTTTATTCCTGTTCATTTGAAAGCATAGGAAAGAGTTAGATATTAAGTTAGATTTCAGTCACGCTTTAAAAATAGAGCAGTTGAAAATATGAACAAGGTTTTATTTACGCTATGAAAAGCAGGCAAAGCATTGCGGTTGAAACTTTTTATTGAAGCAGATCTTCAATCAGACCTCGACATAAACCTCTGAGTACATCTTTAAGTTCACCCTAAATCCCGTCTAGGTTCTCCAAGCAATTATTGTGAATGAAAATAAAGATGGATCTGTTTACGTAGAGCTGTTTAATGCAGGAGGGGAGAGTATCAATAAAACGTTGATAGAAATGGCAAACACCGAACGAGAATTATCTAAAGCCACACCACCTTCTGAAGTGTCCAGGCAAAACCGCAAAATATCGACTGAAGCACTGCATAACGGTGACCAGTCGGATCCCAAAAGTATGACACCGTCCTCGCAATATGATGGTGGTGAAGCGGTGTTTAGTTCTGGTGCTCCGATTCAAAGTCAGTCAATCTCACCGAGCGGCTCCAGTCGGGCACCCCAGAGCCAGTCCCAAGTTTCCTCAAAAAGAGGGGAATTGGAACGAGGTCACGTGTCTCCTGGTAATCAAGCATCTGCCCGAGTAATGCAAGGATTGTCCAACCAGGCACCTACCCAGAGTGCCTCAAGACCTAAACAACAACCAGTCCAAAAGCAGGCCACACACGTTCGGCCTTCAACGTCGGTTGGTAATCAAGGCTTTGAGAAAGGCGTAGTCACCACTCCTAATCAGGCGTCAACCTACAATCAGGCACCTGTTACTAAAAATCAGGCCTTTGGACATAGCCAGGCAAATCAGGCCTTTGGACATAGTCAGGCTCCGCCCCAAAGCCACGAAAACCCATCTGGTAATCAGGCATTTTCAAGACGTCCGGCAGCGGTTCAAAATCAATCATCTAATCAGGCACCACCTCAAAATCAGGCATCACCTCAAAATCAGGCACCACCTCAAAATCGGGTATCACCTAATCCGGCATTTGAACGCAAACCGGCTTTGAATCAAGTTCCGCATAACCAACCACCAATCCACAACCTAACACCGCGGAATCCAGGACTTTCCCAAAGGCAGCCATCACCTCCATCGACTACTCAGGCGTTTGCCTCAAAACAGGCCTCCCCGCAAGGTAAGGTCGCACCCAGACAACCCTCACCCACTCAGGCATTTGGCAAAGGTTCCGCGAATCAGCCCATGAACCAAACCCGACCCCAACCAAGTCAGGCTCACAGTCGTGTGTTGACCTACCAGGTGCCTCAAGATCAGACCTCACCCAAGAAGCAGGCTCCACCTCACGGTCAGGCACCTCTTCAAAATCAGGTTGTACCCAAAAGACATGGTCCAACTCAAGATCAGGCTGCATCCAGAAAGCAGGCTCCACCTCAAGATCAGGCTCCATTTCACGGTCAGGCACCGCTTCAAAATCAGGTTGCACCCAAAAGACAGGGTCCACCTCAAGATCAGGCTGCATCCAGAAAGCAGGCTCCACCTCGAGATCAGGCCCCATCTCACAGTCAGACACCACCTCAAAATCAGGTACTTAACCCAGCTGCTAACCGAGGTCGACCTGCACCTACACATGGCCCATCTCCACCCAACCGTATGCCGAACGAACAGAGTTCCCTTAAAAACATGAACATGACGTCATCGGCTATGACGTCACAACGCGTTCCTTCCCAAGGTCACAACGCGTTCCTTCCAACCGGTCAATTTGTGTCGCAAAACCTAGCATCGCAAAAATTTCCATCCCAGGCGACTACGTCACGAGCTGGTACGTCACAGGGTATGACGTCACAGAGTATGACGTCACAATGCATCACGTCACAAACCGTCAACTCACTAGGACCTTCAGAGCAAAATCTCACGTCGAAGGGTATTACGTCAAAAGGTGTAGCGTCACACGATGTTACGTCACGACCGTCAGAGGCTATGACGTCACAATATCTGACGTCATTATTGGCTGAAGCGGGTAAACCGCGATCAGATAGCTCCGCTAGCAGCGGCAGTAAAAACTCTTCTAGCTTGGATGAAAATTTTGATGAACCACTTGCTAACGTCGAACGTGATACGACCAATAGCTCTAAGTCATCTTTGTCCAATCAGAAGCAATCGAACAAGTCTAGCCGGTCGCCTAAGAAACAATCTCGAAATGAAATGGCTGGTATTGCTTCAAAAGGTGGCCAAAAGATTAAAAACTCTGCAGATATAGGCAGTGCTGGTGGCAAAATTTCCCCGACTGCTGAAGCGAAAACTCGCAGCTTCTCAGGGAGAGGTGGGGCTAAAGCCTTGAGGCAGAACTTTGATAGGGGCAGTGCATCTGCTGTTGATGAAAAAACATTTCGTGATTTGACGACGAAGTTTCAGGCACAACAGAAGATTTTAGCCTCCACCGGCAAAGATTTGCGAATGGCTGCTGAAATGTACATGAATCGGCAGAAATTGAATCTGATGTACAAGTAAGTAAATTTGGTCAAATTTTTTGTCTTATCCTTTGAATAACTCCTGACAACAGTTGTTTTCTAGAAATCCAGTAAGGATCATGTCTTATTCCACTTTACTACAGGAGGAAACCTAAACTAGACTAATTTTATTCATACTGGATAGTTCTATCAGTTCTAAACTATTCTTCCTAGAGGTTCAGTAAGGATCATCTCTTATTGATCCAGTGTTACTACAGGAGAAAACCTAAACTAAACTAACTTTATTTATAGTGGATTGCTCTATCATTTCTAAACTGTTTTTCCTAGAGGTCTAGTAAGGATCACCTTTTATTGACCCGGTGTTAATACAGAAGGAAACCTAAACTTAACTAACTTCATCCAGTTATACTGAAAAAAGAAACCTGAAAATCATGTAGCCTATAAGACAATTGATACTCTTTAATTCTCGTTCATTATTATTCACGTTTAGAATAAAGATGTTAGAGAATGAAAATTTAATCCTGGAAGCTGAAATAAAGAAGAATCTTCAGGAAAAATCCGAATTGGAAAAGCAGCTTCAAATGAAGTAAGATTTTATAAACAAATAATATATGTCCACTGCGTTCTCAAGGACTGCGTGAAGTGAGAAGACGACTGATGCAGTAAGGAAATGCCTCTTTGGATTTGGAGTTTGGCTCTCGTGTACGGGGTAATGGATGAGGTTGTTATTTGTGTATCAAGGAGCGGTAAGAAAGAGTTTGACTCGCGCTGACACGAGAGATATCACTTCTCGAATTTTTTATCTGCATGTTGAATTATTGTTGATCTCATCGAGTTGTGATGCTTTTAAAGGTGTTTGACAACCCTACCCCCCCCCCCCTCTCGGCGGCCCTGCATGCATTACACCAGCTGTCAAGGTAGTCGCAACATAGGCGGCCCAAAATTGGCAGCGAAAACTTTTTCGGCAATTTGTCAATGTAATGTATATAATATGTAATTATATGTTATACATTACATTGACAAATTGCCGAAAAAGTTTTCGCGGCCAATTTTGGGCCACCTATGGTCGCACGAGCCAAATTTTGAAGTCTCGTTTCCGCTTTGTCGTAATTTTCGTGAACAAATCATTTTCACCGATGAGAAATAGCCTGGATGTAATTTTTCTTTATTTCTCAATCTATTTCTCAATCTAAATCGGTCGTTGTTCACTTCACATTCGCCGTAGAAAATTCTATTACATCGATCACCTTGACGTGTTCACAACAATTATGACTAAGTGGAGACCAGGCTTAATACCGCTAATTGTGAGTTGACTTTACGAACTGGGGCAGGTTGTATGAAAGCTGGATAGCGCTATCCACTGGATAGTGTTTTTTTCAATCGTTCTAAATGGGTATAAAATTGCCTCCTGTTGTTCGGTATAACTTTGATTAAACATTAGTATTCGTAAACTGTTATATCCTTTTTATTCATTGTTATACCTGCATGCAAAGTTTATTGGTTTTCCAGCATTTTTAAAAAGGTTTAAAAAATCACTGTTCGGTGGATAGCGCTATCCAGTTTGGCCCCTGACCAATAATTTTGGAATTGTATATGATTCCATGTTTTCATCGGAAGCTGTGGGACTTCCTAATATAGGTTAGAATTTGTTGAGTTCTGTTATCGTTCATTTCGTTCCAACACTAGTACTTTGTAGTTTGAACTACTGATGAAACTGTTGAAAAACGAAAAAGATGGTTTAAATAATATGCTTTGAAGTTGTTTTACAGTATACAAATATATAGAGAGAGAGTGTCTGAAAAGACAAAAGCGAAATCTCACTTGCAGATGATGTATAGCTAATGCATTATAGCTATAATTGAGATTTAACTTTTAGATATAGCATAAAGTGTTAAGAGTGTAAAATATTTGCCGATCGAAAACCACACTCTTCGAATGCTGAGAATCGAATAACGCATGCACACACGCCTTATAAACCATCCAGTTTACATATAATTGTCAACGATGTGAACTTGTGTTGCCTATATTGTTCACAGTTGTAATCAACAGCGAACAATATCGTTTACACTCAATTCAGTTTCAACAATATCGTTCAATGACAATGTTGTTGTCAAGTGTATATATATAGCTACATATAATAGTATATAGTTGATTGTAACCAGCATATTTTTTCATGCAAAAAAGTGCATGATATACAAGGTTTCCATGCTGGTATAAACCAAGAGTTTTTAGCCATGTACATGCGCATCAAGTTCGTATACAATAAACTCAGATTAGCGTTTTGCATTCATAACCCTCAACCTAGAACGCTAATCCTCGTGCAGATCGATGTAATTTCTGGAAATCGATATGGAAAGTCAATCCGCTCAAGACAGCGGATTAAAATTTAACCTGTACAATGCAGAAGTAGAGAAAAGGTCGAGCAATATACAAAGAGATACACATTGTTCATTGAACAAAATAACTCTATACTTCCAGACCGGTAGCTGGTCTTAACCCCCGTAATGACCTCAATATCCGACGTGTCATGCCGTACAGTTTTTCCTGGAAGTGATCTTAAAAAACTTCAGCCGGAAGAACTAGCAAGAGCACATGCACTAAATGGTATATTAAGCTACGTTTGTCTCGCAAAGCGAAAGAATCAAACGATTTCAAAGGGCAATACCGTCTTGAAAATATTTGGTCTACATCAAGAGAAGAGTAAGTAAAACTAAATTTGGTGTAGAACAATTTATAATACGTATACGACTGTAAAATGTTATGTTGGTATATATATTTATACACATTCATATTAGTCGCATACCAAACAGTGGTCTTGTTATAGACTCAGAGTTGTAGTGTACTTTAATGTACGTCTACATTATGTAGTTTTTGGGAATACACTTTTATAACGGTAGCTTTTCGTATATCATAATTCAGATGTCGTGACTTAATTGCAGTTCACTGATAAATGAACAATCCGATAAAGGCGATATCTCAAAGACGACATACATGGAATTATATAACAAAGTCAATAAAGCGACATTATGAATTATGAACGCGAAATATGCCACATTACATTAGCACATATAGCTAACCAACCGTCATTGGCGTCACAGTCTGTATATAATATATATATATATATATATATACTTCCTGAGACTGAGTGTATTGGCGGGTTGTGATATACAGGTATCTCCAAATATGTATTCATGCATGTACTGGTGTTTTTAACCGCAGTGTCTCGCTGCCTTAGTTACGGTCAACATATGCAAGAATTTACGCGAGAATACACTGGGAAAGAAATACAAGAAACTATAATTTTATCCTTGCTCATGCAGTGAGGCTGATACAGGTCGCGAATTCGTGAAAGTTGGCGCATTTGAAAATTTGAGTATAATGAATTTTTTCAATGACAATTAATGGCGATGTCAATGATTATAATTTGACGGCCTGACACAAAGAAACTGATAATATATATATAAGCTCTTAGTATAACATATTTTTTACTTGCATATAGACGACCATAAGGGATGGCTGGAAATAATTCAGACAGTCGGTCATCTGTTCCTGGTGAGCTGCAAAATGGGGCTGATAATCAAGTGAGTCATAAAACACGTATTATCGCTTATTGTTATAATTATCAGTTATCTTAAGGGTACAAATGTATATTATTTTTACGTATATACATTTACATGTAATATTCTTGTATATTTGCATGGTGACATCAATAAGTAAATAGCCTTAACTGATGAAGGCCCGGGTTAACGGACCGAAAGCTTTCCAGTATTAAATATTTACGTGGTGTACCTACAAGCTGATTACTTAGATATACATGACTCGTTAGGTTGCAATAGGCGATAGTAATGGTGCAGAAATAACATCAGTTCCAGGTGAGCCTGGTTTTCAAGACAAAGATGACGATCAAGTAAGTTTATTATCATACCTCATACGCTATGCTAGAGTTTTGCTTTGAATGAGGTTTGTGAGGAAAGTTCAAAGTTGAACACTCTGTTTGATCACATGCATGTACCACAAAACCAAATATTTCTTTATGCTGGTTGCCACGTGACTCAGTGACGTAACGACATTTTGAGGAAGGTTTTCAAAACTTGAAATCCTGCTGGAGGAAGGTTGAACTCTTTTTGCTACTCTGAGCTGTATGCATGTAATACTTGTAGTTATGCAGAAGTTTATTGGAATAAGTTTCAGGAGAATATGATGTACTTCACGATGTTTATATATAATATAACAGCATAATACATGAAATTTGACCAATCAGAACGTAGGATTTGTTATATTCACTTGTGCAAAAATACCGGTTAAATGCATGTGCATATTCATCAGCATTTTTTCGAAACTTTTTGTTTAGGATGATATAGACCTCAAAGCAAACTTGTTCCGCGTAGAAAGTGATATATTTTGGAGCATAATTTGCGGATTTCTCAACAACTTATCAGAGCAGGAAATTTCTGCTGCGAAAGATCACTTTTGCAATTGTGTGAACTCGATTATTAAGGCATATGAAGAGAAAGCCCAAGAAGCAAAATTTTGGAAAGATTTGTTGAAACGGAAAACTAAAGAAAAGAACAAAAAAATAAAAGAACTCGAACATTGTGTCTCTGAATTAACCAAACAGTTAGATTCAAAAGTATGCGAAAAATGTGGTAAAAAGGGAATATCTGAACAATTTCGTTCGTTATCAGTGAACGAGAATACGAAGGTAAAAATGTAATGCAGGGTTGGTTCCTTGTATCAGATATCTTTCCAGTGTCTAGACCCAGATTCCACGCAAGCCACTGCTTGCACTAGGATTTCAACGAATAGCTTTTACAAACATCAAATAAAATAATTTTATAGCTAAAATGGATAACCTATATAGGTATATGATTTAGGATTTTGTGCTGAAACTTTATTCGATGTGGAATAAATTTTTAAGTAAAAAACAGAACATTTAGTACTTACATTTCTCCATTTCCTCTCTTCACGTAGGGTAAAACAGAAATTGATGGACCACAGGTAGTAAATATGGACAATAGAAGTAAGGGACCGCTTGAAAACGAGGAAGCCACTGGAGACAAAACGGACGTAAGTTATAAAACCATGATGTTTTCCTTCCCAGAATTTTGTCGGCAGAAATTTTTAGCAAATTGGATAAACACAATTGTTAATGATATTCAATGAAAGTTTGAAAGAACTTTAAAAAGCACACTATAAAAGGATAAGCGAAGGAACTTGTATTACACGTTAATGTTGAACTATCCTAAATAGAAGAACGTCTTAATGACGTTTTGCCCAATGACCTCTATATATTTTATAGCCGTATAATAGAATTTGTTATGCTTGCGAAATGGGGAAAATGTAAATATGTTTACAAGTTTATTCTAATGGCATGCATGCGTTAAATGGTTTGGGAGTACTTGTTTTTTTCAAATATAGTTGATTGACAGGTTGTTGCTGCCAGTATCAACAGACAATACTAATAATTATATCATGTGCTGAATTTGCCTTGCAGACTGGAAAGTCGAGATCTCGATCAACCCCCAACGTAAGGTGTCCTTACGCTTTTTGCGGGTTTGTTTCGCTTCTGTGTTTACTTCACGAAAAGGGGATCTATTTCTGCGCCATAAAATTACTCCTAAAATTAGGAGCAGAAACTGATTGCGAGCCCCCAAGTTGTACGAAGATCTTGAACAACCTCCACGAATTGCGGTTCCTCAAGAGAGTATATAAATGTCCTGATGTCGATCAGGTTGGACGAGACGAAACCTTAAAAATAGCTGCAAACGAATTAAAACTATCAGGACAAAAGGCAGGTTTATTGTCGTATTCGACAGATGATTTCAGTCATTGCCTTACGGTATACCTAACAGAAAAGGAAGGCGAGTTGGAAATTCACGATGCGGACGAAAACGTTTCTCACATCACCGATTTTGAAAACGTTAATATCCTCGAGTTGATTGTTTTGAGATGTGACAGAAATGGTGAACCACTAATTGTTAAAGAATGGGGAGATCAATGTCATAAGGATATATGTGAATACGAACTGAGACGACTGAAGTCAGACTACTCAACGCCCAATGCTGTTATGAATGGGGACAATAGAAATGGGGCATTTCGTGAAGATAATCCCGCAGATGTTTTTGAGGATGGCGATGATCAGAATAGTGAAAAAAGCATTTTGTGACGTGGTCTTATTGAGCAAAAATTACTTGATTCATTGTTAATCCAGGTGAACTACCGAATGAAGATAATCTAGATAATAGTTAAATCCAGTTAACTCAGAAATGCACGAGTCTGGTTTGCCAATTCTGTCCTTAACTACAGTTAAAAGTTAACTAGTTTTTTAATATACAACTGACCCCAGAGTTATATTTTAACATTTTTAGCTTCTTAGTTTTAAATACTTTTAGTTTTGAAAGCAAAAACGTAAGATTGTGCAACCAAATAAAAAACAATGTGTAAAGAATAAATATCGTTTAATATTTGCGTTCAACCTTCATACAAAGTTTCGATATATTTCATGACTTTTAGAAGAGCGTTTACAGGATAAGGAAACAAATTTTTCGATGCCATTCGCTGGATCGCAAACCGCAAACGAATTAAACACGTCAGCGCGTTTTGTAAGTCGTTAATTTTGCTGAACACTGCACCGCATTGGCTGCTGTCATCCCCAATATCATCCCAATATCATCACCAATATCATCACCAATATCATCACCACCAGCAGTATTATCAATATCAACATCATCACAATTATTTTGATTAATACTACAGCCATCACCACAAGTATCGTCAATGTTATCGTTCATATTACAATCATCATCACCAATATCACAACCATCATCATCAGAGCCACCATTACTGCTAGTATTACAACCATCGTTATGATCAGAACTGCCAATATAATCACCAATATCATCAATAAAATCATTATTACTATTATCATCACAACTATCATTGCCGTCACAACCAACATCACTCAGAGACTTCCTACTTTCACTAAATTGTTCTGTATTAAAACATAAAGAAACATCTCCTTTATATATCTCTGTGACACCTGGCAACTCTTTGTTGGACAAAGCCTGCCTTTGTTCAAGACAGCCTTTAAAGCCTTCCCAATCATTTGCAAGATATCTGAGATATTTATGAAAGTATGGCAAAAAAGAGGTTTCATTTGATATGAGAAAGTCCAGTAATAAGGAATGATCATAGTTGATGGATTCCAGGAATTCCACAAAAAATTCATGTGGATTGAGGAAATCTTCAAGTTGATTTGCCCAGGATGGAATTTGCTGTAAGCTGTAAATGAGATAAAAAGTCAAAAATACTTCATTGGAAGTCTTAAGCATGAGAGAGAGCCTTTGAAAATTATGATTGGTTAAATGTGAGCTAACATGATGATAAGAAATTTACCTTTCACTAGAGAAGAGTTCTTGGTAGAGATGAAGAAGGCAAAACAACATATACACAAGTTCATCATCTTGTTCTGAAAACAACCGGATCAACCAGACTGCAGTTGATAGTGATTTAGAATGAGACAACTTTATGATGAAACTTGACCAGCTTTCAAGAGGTCCTTTCAAGGTTATAAAAACACAAATGTGAGTGACCAAATTCAATGATTTTTTCAGTTTAAAAGCACAGTGTGGTTGAAACTTCAGGAGGTTGAGAACTCACCATGCCAAGGTAAATCATGTGGGCTATGCAAAGAAACCACAATCAGTTTTACTACCAACAGCAAAACCTTTCTCAGGCTAACTTCATCATAGGGCAGGCTGCAAGAGGTTTCCAGCTGGACTTTATTGTCAACTCCACCAAAATGAACCCTGCCAGAGACATGTGGCACATTTCCCAACACTGAACAACAATTCTTAACTAAAAAACTGCAAGTTCTTGTATACAACAGGCTTTGCTTTTGCATAGAACCTTTCACCTCCTGACCCAAGTAATGTTCTGAAGCTGCACTGACAACATTATTTAAAAATTGAAACACAGTGCGACTGAAGTGCAGCAAGCACTTTTTGTGATTAATTTCAATGAGCTGGGCTAAAATTTGTTTTAATAACTCTGCTTTACAATCTTTTGCATTGAAATCTTTGTCATTTGTTGCGGCATCTTTGTATTCGTTTTTACAAATGTTGTTACCATTATCCAATCTTGGGCCACACCAATTCCCAGAGGGATAAATCCTTGGATGCTTACCATGTTTTAAAGTGTCATTGACCTGCAAATCCATGTCCTCATCATTAATAGGACTACATTCATTCTTAAATGTTTCCTGAGAAAATTCTTCACATGTTGGATTGTTCAAGTACTGCAGGCACAAGTTGAATGATGTGATGAATATTTTTCCGTATGAAAGCATTGTTGTGAGAACTTGTTGAAATGAATCAACTCTGGACCAACATAAATCTTTTTCTAGCAAACATTCACTTTTAAAAACATTCAATAGCCGGGCTAGATTATGATTGGTCAGTTTTAACCAATAAAAACACAAAGAACTCGTAATTTCATTTGGTGATACTGTATCATTGTGTTCTTCCTGACATACATGTGAACAATGTTCAGTGGTAGACTTATTTTTGTTTGAAATTAAACCATTCTCATTCAAGTCCATTTGAAGAAACATCTCCATTAGTATTTTTGCAATATATATTGGTAACCAAAGGCCAGATTCTTTGCTTTCAACCGACACGCTCAAATCTACAAGTTCATCAAATTTCAGGTGCAGCATGAAACTTGGAACCAATTTGAACACTTTACACAAAACCTTGGAGCCTTGAAATACAATAAAATGATCATTACATTTTAGGCATTTAAATAAAACTTCGAAAACATAACTTTCTTTGCTGCGAAGTGTGGTGATAAGGTTCAGAAATGAAGGACAGTCTTGCTTTTTTGATTCAACGGTGCAGAAAATGTCCCACAGTAAACTAAGGTTATTGAGTATTTCCTTCCTAGTTGAATAATTATCTCCATCAAGGCACTCCTGATGTTGATATAATTCGAGATTCTTGTTCAAATTTTCAAAGTGTTCGGCAAATTTCTGCGGAAATACCAACTCTAGAGAGTTGTCTGAAGATTCAAGTAAATATTTCAAACATTTAGTATTCTTTAATGCTTCGTTCATCGCTTTTAACGATGGATTTGGTTCAATTTTTTCCGCCATGATTCCGTGTTGATAATACTTCGCCTTAAATGAATATCTTCAAAGAACTGTCGCTGACCGAAATTATGCATATTTTTTTTATTATTAAATTTATATTAAATTAATTATTTAGTTAACAATAAACAATTGTTTTAATTGTTGAAATTATCCCTATTTCCACCTGTGTTAAGGAATATTAGATTAATGCCTAAAAATTACACAGAAATACATGAAATACAAAAACCCTTTGAAATTTAGCAGTTCAGGAAATTTCTGGCATAATACTTTGTCGTATAAATTAAAATAATTATCAATAATTACATCCTGCCTTCGAAGCAACCGGAAACAACACAAAATGTCTGCACCAAGAAGAGCTGCCCCTCCTCCGCCAAGTCGACCAGGTAAACACGAGTTTTTATCAATTTTAGACACATTTTTCTTCAACTAAAACGTATCTCTTCTTGTTAAGGACAAGTGCAAGTGGTTCGCGCTCTGTACAGATACGAAGCACAACAGGTGCGGCTGAAAATACTCGCGCTTTCTTCTGACACGAAACAGGAAATAGACGCGAGATGTATAAAGTTGTCTTGAAAACTTCATGAGAAATCCGACCTCAGGTCTAAAAGCGATGTTTGTTTTTTGTAGAAAGATGAATTAAGCTTTGAAGAAGGCGACGTTTTATACATCATACACAAGGTTTGATAGTTCATTTCTTTGTTTACCGGTGTTTAATATACTTGGCTAGCCAGTTACCTACGTTTGTTTTGAGGAATTGCCAGTAAATATTTAATTGTTGATCAATGATCGTAATTAGTAGAAAAGGATTATCCGACTTTGAAACCTCGCTTAGTTTAAAGCCCCATGAAAGTTCCCCTAATAAATAAACGCTCTTTCCACTCAAAGATCAGTTTACTTACTGTATTGTCACAAATATTTCCTTGAACAATATTATATTGCAAAATAGTTTGAAAAAATCGTGACAGCTTCTGTCTTGAGATTGGCTCGGCCGATGAGGCAAGAGGTTAAGGAAAGTAGCAGGTGTATTTTGCTGACAATACTATAGTTCTGTGATGAATCATGAATCATCAATAGAAATTTAGTGCCAAGACAAAACTCGTGTATTTTTTAGGCCGAAGAAGGATGGTGGCAGGCTAGAGTTAAGAACAAAGTTGGTTTGATACCATCAAATTATGGTATGGAAGAGCAATGTTAAAAGTCTGTTCAAATGATCCACTATCTTGCATTGGGCGGAATAAAATGCTAAATAATACCATGCAGTGTAGGCATATAATTTCATGATAAGTACTAAAGTAGGTTGTGAGCTAACACATGCAGTTTTACTATGTCTATTGCCAGACGATTTTACTCATGTCTGCTAAAGAGTATGGCCAACTTTGTTTAAATTGAAATTGTGATAATGTTTTTGTGCATAACTTTTAGTTGAAGCTCACACAGAATCAGTTGAGAACCCACTTCATGAGGCTGCAAAACGAGGTTTGATGGTCTTTATGGAAAAAGAACTTCAACAACACTTGATTCTAATGTCAATATCATCTTTGCTTTTTAGGGAATGTAAACTTTTTAAATGAGTGTCTTGGAAATAAAGTACGAATGATAAATACACATTTTTTATCTTTTAGCCTTGAAATAAGTCATTTGTTCTTCTCCTAGGAATTTGAAATTTGCAAATACTTGCAATCTTTCCCTGTGATCCCCCATCTTAGTAATTGTCACTTGCTGTGAATTCAATAACAAGTTAATCACATTTCTAGGTATCTGTGAATGGGTTAGACAAAGCAGGATGCACGCCACTTCATTGGGCTGCACAAGGTGGTCATGCAGGTACATATACTAAAGTTTCTATCAACTGTCAAAGGCACAGCCTGAATGCCCGCAATAGTTAAAGTCAAGTCTGAACTTATTTTGAACTTATATACTTTTTGAAATACGTTGTCAATGTCTTGTATCTAACAACATTTAGGTTCACTATGCCTTTAGATGAATATGAACCAGTGTTAATTTTGATGAGAAAAATTCAAAGCATGCAAAATCTGGGAAAAAAACTACTTGTATGAACTACTCAAGTGTGAACTATTTTATCACAATTCAAATATTATAAGTATGCTCTTTTCAGAGTGTGTGAGCATACTTTTACAGCAAAGCAGAATTCAAATAAATGTTCAGGTAATTCGATGGATTAAATTATGTATACACAACCCAGTTGATATAGCTGCAACTCTTTCCTATACATACCTACATTTGTGAATATTACACACCCTTTATATGAATTGATAATTTCTTTATCCAGAATAAACTTGGAGACACACCTTTACATTCTGCCTCATGGAAGGGGCATCCTGAAATTGTGAAAATGCTTTTAGACAAAGGTAATGGTCTTTTTTGCAACCCTTTTGAAATCATTGTCCATATTTCTTTAGCACTTTCACAACTACCAATAACATGCATTGTCATGCAATTGTCATGTACACAGGTGGTGATACAAAAATCAAAAACAATGACAAGAGAACTCCATATGATCTTGCTAAAAATCCAGAATGTGGTCGATTGTTGAGAGGAGCCATAGGTAAAAATTTCATGGAATTTTTTTTACTTCATGTTCACAGTCAATAGAAATATTCACTCGATATAAGGTATAGCATATATTCAAGAGCATAGCACATGTTTAACATATATGTTGTTACGTACCTAGCCAAGTTCGTTTGACTCAGAAACCCGAGATATCAAAAAAATCACATTTATTATTCTACAGTTCACGCACGTTTACAAATCCCCTGAACTAATACCGTTCTGCTCTATTTATACCCGTGTATATTTACATAAATTGTTCATTGTTGCTGCATACTAATGTCCAACACAACAATATGTAATTAAACGAGATAATAGTTTACAGTCCAATGTAATAAAATTTGTATGAACATTTTACATTTACACAAAATTATGACCATGAGTTTATTCAAATGTCAATCAGTATAACTATTTTCTCTTTTTTGTTTTTAGCTACTGGTGCAGATGATGATTATGGAGATGATGATGACTCTGACTAATGAAATGCAAATGCCACAGATGTTGAATGAAACAAACTGGTATCTTTTCTACAAAGTTGTAAGAATAATGGGTTCTGATAAATTTCATTGCTGTAAACATTGACTATGGCAGGGTAGCTAGACTATTTAATTGAGGGGGGGGTGTATATTCATATGTTCATGTTATATGCAATAGCGTACAAAGAAATCAGTGAGGCACAAGCAAATATACGAATATACACCTGCCAATTAAGCTTCTAGCTACTGCCCTGACTAGAGGCCGGTTTTTCAAAGATGGTTTAATTAATAGCCAACCATGTTGATAATCTTGAAATCAAATTTCTAAACACCTTGTACGTCACATCCGCGATGCCAGAAATGACCACAAGCATGATAATTGACCATGTATGAATATACTTAGGCTAAAATAGGTGGTTTAAGCAAAACGTGGTTGGCAATAATCATGTTTTGAACCACCAGCCATGGCATATGCAACATTGTACTCATTTATGCAACTAGAATAATGCTTTCTAAGTCTACATTCATGTGATGGATGACCCATTTGAAGTCCTATTGCCATACGTGACCACTGGCATTGCCATTATGAATATAATGCAGAAAGAACATTATTTTGGAACATTTCGTTAGTTATATTTATATGAAAAGAACAATTAACAACATCATCACGGTTTAAGTACGTCATTTGCTGTCGATGACGTCACTTCGGGTCATAGATTAATTAGTAAATATAGTTAACTGTAGTACCTCTAGACCATTAGTGGTTTCATATGAAATTTATTTTTATTAAAGTTTTAATTGAGGTTGATGTTTAACTGTTAGCAGTGGGACATAGTATACCTCTAGTTGAAAATTGAATTCAAGTGAAGAAAAAAACACCGTCCATTATCCGGACCATGACAATCATAGATCACTATGGAAACGTCATCAAGAAATTGTATATCAAGATGAGGATGAACTTAGTGAATCCGTAATTGTTCAAGCCATTTACAGAATAGAGAAGTCTTTCACCACCAGCGGTGATAGTATCATTTAAAAGACCTAAATCGAAAAAAGGATGAAGTAAAATAAATTCTTACTTAATTTTAAAGTCTCCTAAGTCGTCTTTCACCACCAGCAGCGGTGGCCGAGTGGGTTAGGATGTCCAGTGGTTAGTCCAAAGGCGGTGGTTCAACCACTTGCAGTGTGAAAAAAGAGCAAATTCTTATTTAATTTCAAAGTCCCAAAAGGAAGGATTAAATGAAGTAAGAAACTTTCGTCTTTCACCAGCAGCAGCGGTGGCCGAGTTCGTTAAGACAGTGGTTAATTCATAGGCGGTGGCACATAGCTGTAAGTCTCCATGATTTGTGGCTTGATGGCAAAGACAATTGATTTTCCAATAATCCGTCGTAGAACCTCTCCAATCCCAATCGGTCTGACGCCCAGGGTTCTTGTCCAGAGGTATTAAGCGACACGCTAAGAAGACCTCTAAGCTGGTGATCTGATCTGCTCCAATACGACCTTCTGGGTTGCTAGTGTTCTCGCCATTAACGCTTTTTCAACTGTTCAAAAAATGTCTTAAAATGCTAAAAATAACTTCCTAAGTCTAATACACCGTATCTTTCATTTTAGAGCATATTTGGTTGGTTTTTGAAACGTTGAAAAATAATCAAAATTGAGCAAAATGGTAAGTTTTTCAACTGTTCAAAAACTGTCTTAAAATGCTAAAAAGGGCTTTCCAAGACTAATATCTTTCATTTTAGAGCATATTTGGTTGGTTTTTGAAACATTGAAAAATCGTCAAAATTGAGAAAAATGGTAAGGCTTACCCCTTACCATTTTGGTCAATTTTTACGACTTTTTGATCTGTTCAAAAAGTGTCTTAAAATGCTAAAAATGGCTTCCTAAGACTTATGTCTTTCATTTTAGAGCATATTTGGTTGGTTTTTGGAGCATTGAAAAAGTCGTCAAAGTTGACAAAATGGCAAGGGGTAAGCCGTAAGTCAAAAGGGTAAAACTTGCGTCTTTATTGCTCTAAGAAAGAGTTTTCACTTTAATTTCTTCTTTCAAAAAGGCCAATAAATGAATATTTTCGCACCAATCTTGGCCTACCTAGTACTAATTTTGATGTTCCGTATATCATTTCTTCCAGTTGTTGAAGCGAAAGACCTTCGGTGGCATGCTGCAGGTAAAGGATGCTATTTTTCGTGTGTTTTTTCCTCTTCAATGTCATTTAACCCTCTTAACTAGCGATGCCTTGCCTTCATGAATCATGAGCAATCATGTTGTAACTAACTGTGTACTGTGTTTCAAGAATGTTCAATCCATTCGTGGAAATAATGGTGGTCGGACCTCATCTTTCGTCGAGACGTCGCCGTTATCAAACTAGATCCAAGAGAAATAACTGGAATCCATCTTTTAATGAAACATTTTACTAGTAAGTGCAAATAAGGAGAAAATTGATTTCGTTTCAAACCAATCAGCGCATTTGTCTACATTCTCATTATTAAACCAAATCGGTAAAAAGGTACGATATTCCGTGTTTTAAAGACTCCGGAGATTCTCGTTCCGTGTTTTAAAGATTCCGGAGATTCTTATTTCGGCTTTTTAAGATTCCGGAAATCTAGTTGGTGATAAAAACGTCTAAAAAAGTCTAAAAAATTCTTAGTCTTTCACCACCAGCACTGATAGCCGGTGGTAAATCTCTTCGTAAATCGCCCTTGGAGATTTACTAGGAAGACTTTTCTATCTCGTTCTTTGACACACATCAGCGAGATGAGGTCACATCGACGGTCGGTAAATTTCGACCTCAAACAGGACGAGACAACGAATGCTGACACGAACCAACCAACCACACAACCAAACTCAAACTAACCTAAAACATTCAAACATATCTTTAGGCGGCGACGAAGCTCCCGAGAGCCCGGGTGGACGACGTGAAAATCTCTCGCTCGACGGCGAGAACTCGCCTGTGGAATTCTCGACCGTGAGTCTTTGATGATTCAGTAGACTTCGAAAATTCCTATCATCTTCAATATTTCATGTTTGCAGTTCCATTGTGTTCTACTTTGCATAATTGTAGGGTCCTATTAAACACTGCCCGAGATGACTGCCCGAGATGACTGCCCGGGATGACTGCCCGAGATGACTGCCTGAGATGACTGCCCGAGATGACTGCCCGAGATGACTGCCCGGGATGACTGCCCGAGATGACTGCCTGAGATGACTGCCCGAGATGACTACCCGAGGTGACTGCCTTAGATGATTGCCCGAGATGACTGCCCGAGATGACTGCCTTAGATGATTGCCCGAGATGACTACCTGAGATGACTACATGACTACCCGAGATGACTGCCCGAGATGACTGCCCGAGATGACTGCCCGAGATGACTGCCTGAGATGACTACCTGAGATGACTGCCCGAGATGACTGCCTGAGATGACTGCCTTAGATGACTGCCCGGGATGACTACCTGAGATGACTGCGTTAGATGACTACCTGAGATGACTGCGTTAGATGACTGCCTTAGATGACTGCCCGGGATGATTGCCTTAGATGATTGCCCGATATGACTGCCCGAGATGATTGCCCGAGATGACTGCCCGAGATGACTGTCAATTTACATCCTGTGGACAAGTGCTGCAAGGCCAACGCCATCCAGAAATATGGAGTCCTAATCATTTTGTTCTATTATTGCTAGCCAAGGAACTGCCAACGATGACCTTCTCGGAGCAGAACAAAAGCTATTCGGAGGCATGTCATTTAGTGTTATCAGTTAACTGGACTTTGTGAGAGTTTTCTTGCAAAATGTTTGCCAAGGTAATTATTATAAGAGATTATAAAGGCCTTTTAATGTTTCTCATGGTATACTGATCTGTGTTGTTTTCTGTGATTAAGTGATGTTTTTCTTCATGTTGTTTATCACTGAAGCTAAAGAATTGAGATACAACAATCTTTGACTGACTTTAGGTGTAAGACGTTCGCCCAGCTATTGTAGACCGCATGGAATCGATTCAAGTCCTTTAAAAATTTGTGAATCAAGATGAGAATGAACTTTGTGAATCTGTAATTGCTGCTATGTTTTAGCTAAAATATAAAAAAAAACTGTTGTATGTCTCCAAAACAAAGGAGCTTATATTTATGATACCAAAAAGTACAGGATTGTTTGACATCAGAAATACAAGGAATTCGGCACACAGCGACAATTCAAAAGACAACTTTTTTCTAGGCTTTTAGCGATTCGTTTATAGTAACATCGCTCACGATGATGTTCGGAGTTGATCGGCATGTTGTCGTACATTATCATACCACGTGATCTGCTATGATCACATGGTAATTATCGCCTATTAAACTAATCTCAACGTTAAAAAAAAATTTCTTTAATTAGGTGGCGATCGAAGGTGGACAGCAAGATCGAAGCTCAGCAAGATTGAAGATTGTTCGAGGAAGAAGGAGTTCGCCGTTGACTAAAAGGTGGGTTCCGGCGATTATATGCGTAATCTGCGGTTGCTTTGTCCGACCCCAGTAGGGGGACCGTTTGCCTAGAGCGTTTTGGTCCCCCGCACGCTGCTAGTTGACTAGTTCCCACTTGTAGGCCTTTACACTAATCTACGGGAAGGCCGTAGGCCTTCCTTAAGGAGTACAGTGTAGCTGAGCCGAACCCTTTTTTTTGTTGTATATAGGTTTATCTGAACAGCTAGTTGTCAAGATGAAGGTGAAGACTCGCCCGGCCAAATTCAAAATGGCGATGCCAAAGAAAACCATCCACGTGGACCGTTCGCGGACCTTTCTGAGCAAGATTGTTGTGCTGTCTGGTCAAAGTTAAGTATTTTACTTTGATGTTTGTGTGCCTTCTGCTAATTGTTGGCCAGAAATAACAAAAAGCCATATACAATATGAAATATTCTGCGTACAAGGTTATCTAAAGTTTCGAGCTTAATTCTGCCTGCAATGATGATAATTTTTTACTGAAAATTTATGCCATGAGCAATTTCCGCACCCATAGACTGAAGCAGAACTGAACATTTTGTCATTAACGTTTATCTCAACAGCCAGTTATCAAGACGAACGTCAAGAGAACAGTTGAAATAGAAAATAGAAATCAGTTCAAGACTCGCCCGGCCGCCGAATTCAAAATGGCGATCCCATACACGTGGACCGTTCGCGGACCTTTCTGAGCAAGATTGTTGTGCTGTCTGGTCAAAGTTAAGTATTTTACTTTGATGTTTGTGTGCCTTCTGCTAATTGTTGGCCAGAAATAACAAAAAGCCATTTACAATATGAAATATTCTGCGTACAAGGTTATCTAAAGTTTCGAGCTTAATTCTGGCTGCAATGATGATAATTTTTTACTGAAAATTTATGTCATGAGCAATTTCCGCACCCATAGACTAAAGCAGAACTGAACATTTTGTCATTAACGTTTATCTCAACCGCCAGTTATCAAGACGAACGTCAAGAGAACAGTTGAAATAGAAAATAGAAATCAGTTCAAGACTCGCCCGGCCGCCGAATTCAAAATGGCGATCCCATCCACGTGGACCGTTCGCGGACCTTTCTGAGCAAGATTGTTGTGCTGTCTGGTCAAAGTTAAGTATTTTACTTTGATGTTTGTGTGCCTTCTGCTAATTGTTGGCCAGAAATAACAAAAAGCCATTTACAATATGAAATATTCTGCGTACAAGGTTATCTAAAGTTTCGAGCTTAATTCTGGCTGCAATGATGATAATTTTTTACTGAAAATTTATGTCATGAGCAATTTCCGCACCCATAGACTAAAGCAGAACTGAACATTTTGTCATTAACGTTTATCTCAACCGCCAGTTATCAAGACGAACGTCAAGAGAACAGTTGAAATAGAAAATAGAAATCAGTTCAAGACTCGCCCGAATTCAAAATGGCGATCCCATCCACGTGGACCGTTCGCAGACCTTTCTGAGCAAGATTGTTGTGCTGTCTGGTCAAAGTTAAGTATTTTACTTTACTGTTTATGTGCCTTCTGCTAAAACTAGACAAAAATTAAGATAGTTGAAAATGCAATTTTATATTAATAATGTCTTCTTACATTCAAGATTTTCCTTGGTCAAGAGTACAAAATGAGCTGTGGATATGAACTTTACTGTCAGATGAACATTGGAAGTGAACAAGATTTCTGCACAGAGGTAATTCGATTGTTCCTTCAAAAGTTATATTAGCCTTGCAGCTGAAATTCTTGTAGTGACCTTGTAATACATATCAACTGCCCGGGTATATATTTTGTTATTTAGTATAAGGGGGAATTTGCTGCAACTAGGATCTTTTTTTGGAAAATTGTCAGGCAGTCACAAATTTTGTTAAGATTACTAAGTTAACATTGCTTCTATGCTCACTATGTGTCACCAGTAATAAATTCCTGTGGTGGTCTTTAAATAAATATAGCAACCATAGTTATATGTGGAGGGATGAGGTATAACCATAGAATACCTGACCAAAAACTAGACAATAATTAAGATAGTTGAAAATGGAATTTATATTAATAATGTCTTCTTATATTCAAGATTTTTCTTGGTCAAGAGTGCAACATGAACTGTGGATATGAACTTTACTGTCAGATGAACATTGGAAGTGAACAAGATTTCTGCACAGAGGTAATTCGATTGTTCCTTCAAAAGTTATATTAGCCTTGCAGCTGAAATTCTTGTAGTGACCTTGTAATACATATCAACTGCCCGGGTATATATTTTGTTATTTAGTATAAGGGGGAATTTGCTGCAACTAGGATCTTTTTTTGGAAAATCGTCAGGCAGTCACAAATTTTGTTAAGATTACTAAGTTAACATTGCTTCTATGCTCACTATGTGTCACCAGTAATAAATTCCTGTGGTGGTCTTTAAATAAATATAGCAACCATAGTTATATGTAAAGGGATGAAGTATAACCATAGAATACCTGACCAAAAACTAGACAATAGTTAATTTTATATTAATCATGTCTTATTTATATATCTGTATTCAAGATTTTTCTTGGTCAAGAGTGCAACATGAGCTGTGGATATGAACTTTACTGTCAGATGAACATTGGAAGTGACAAGATTTCTTCACAGAGGTAATTTGATTTTGTCATGGATGGTCAGCATTTGATTTTAAAAAGCCGCTACATTATTGAGATGACAACTATGAAATTGAAATTTGCTTCTATGGTCACCATGTGTGAAACCAATGATGAAACTTGATGCTATAACAGCTGAACCAGTCTGGCTGATTACTAAAATTCCTGTCGTGGTCTTACAATAAATATCCACGAAAAAGTGGGAGAACTTGAGAGAAATTTTGCTGATTTCCCTGTGATTTATATTCTGTAGTACTCAGAAGGGTGATACCCAATTTTTCTGTGTTCAAATAGAATAGTGACATATGTCTGGGTTGAATATATGCATGTGACACATTCTTTTTATTGAAAATGGCAAAAATATAATTGGCATAAAACAGATGGCTAAAGTAAGATAATGAGTAATATCTTTTAATAATGATGTCAGGTTGAAAATACAAACTTTGCTGCCACTTTTTGCCTAAAAGGATTGATGAAATGTTTTTTCTCTTTAGAATGAATGAAGTTTAAGAAAGTTGAAACACACCCCTGAAGAACCTGAATTATTTTAGCCCTATCCTAGATTCATTAATTAATATATTTTAGTGTGTGATAACATGTGTGAAATATGATCAATTATGTGACAATTTTCAAAACTTGGATTTATAAAGAGAAATTTTTCTTTGTAAAGTTTAAGAAGTAAACCTTTTTTGTCTGGTGGTGTTAGTGTTTTGATTTTGCATGTTTTTCCGTGTACTTTCACAATTGAAAAGATTTTGGCAGTTGCCTCTAAATGTTTTTTGAAAAGTTTAAGAAGAAACTTGATTTTTGTCTTGTGGTGTTTGTTGTTTCGATTTTGCATGTTTTCCATGTGCTTTCGCAATTGAAAAGATTTTGGCAGTTGCTTCTAAATGTTTTTTGAAAAGTTTAAGAAGAAACTTGATTTTTGTCTGGTGGTGTTTGTTGTTTCGATTTTGCATGTTTTTCCTTGTGCTTTCACAATTGAAAAGATTTTGACAGTTGCTTTGGCTTTTTCTTATACTTCTTTTCTCTTTAA